CCGTTACCGCCTACGGAAGGCGAGACCCCACGACGGCCAANCGGGTCGTAGGAGCCGAGTTCGAGCAGCTGAGGCAGCTGGTCCAAGCTGCCTTAGGATTACGACTTTTCAATTTCCTCTTTAGATCCATCTGACGGCTCAGCTTTTCTGGTCTCCCAGGAGCATGTTCCGCGCAAGCGGGTCGAGGACGCCAAGTTCGAACAGCTGCCAGCAGCTCCGGTACGTTGACTCTGACACCGTCTACCGATCAGATACATAGTCCGACGGCTAGGACTCAAGCCCGAGCAAAATTAACGGCTGCGCTTACGTTTTGCAGGAGCACGTCCAGCGCAAGCGGGTGGAGGACGCCAAGTTCGAGCAGCTGCAGGCGGCGCACACGCTGGCGCTCCAGCAGGCGCTGAAGCTGCAGCGCAACCGCGACGCGTTCAACAAGCGGCTCGAGCAGAAGGAAGAGCGGCACACACGCGAGGGGCAGGAGCTCGTCCAGTGGCAGGAACGCACGATCTCCAACGCGGAGATGTCCGTCAACATGCGGCTCAAGAGCATCCCCACCGAGGCCAAGGCGATCCTGATCAAGGCGCACGCGCTGGAGATTGAACATATGAGGGTCACGCACGCGAAACAAGGGGACCAGCTGCGCGAGCGGCAGCTCGTGAACCAGAAGCAGACGGCCAAGAGCTTCGAGTACGAGCAGAAGTGCGTGCACGACGCGATGAAACTAGAGGCGGGGCACCTGGCGGCGGTGCAGAAGCTGCAGGCGGAGCACGAGCTGGAGCTGATGAAGCTGAAGCACAGCCTGGACTCGGACATGCAGCAGTACACGCGCACGCGGCGCGCGGCGGGCTTCGAGATGGACGCGGAGACGGTGACGCGCAAGCAGAAGCGCACGGCCAAGAAGCTGCGCGCGCGCTTCCAGAAGGAGATTGAGGTCAAGCGCCGCGCGTGGAACAACCAGGTGAGGCCGTCACAATGGGCTTGAGCAGATTTGTGCGCAAGCAGACTCAGAAAGATACCTAAAGGAATGCTACACTGAATACTTCAAGGTAAGTACGGATGGTCGAACCGTTGGATTGTCAGTTGTTCTGAACCGTTCGTTTCCGTGACTCTAATAGTCACCAGCTCAAGAGATGTCTGGTCCTTGTAAGTTGCAGCAAAGTTTGCAGCGGCCCTCTTGTTGGGTTTTCATTCAATGCGGAGAACTCTCGTACGTGCTCTCTGATTGCCACCCTGGTACCCAAAATGCACCGGTCAACTCCTTGAGAACAGCAGGCCTTGCCGAGCGCTGTTCAAACCTCGTTCTCCCTTCCCAGTTGCGCCGCTGTCCCGAAAACGTGGCAAGTTTCCCGCAGTTCATGCAGCTGTGGAAGTAGATATCTCATGCTGAGTCCACACGTGGCGGTTTGCCTCTGACAGTGCAGCCGGAAGGACGCTCTTGGATACGTTGTGGTCTGTTATGAAAGCATGCAGCTGAAGGAAGTGTCCGACTTGACACGTGGCGCTTCTCCTGCGATCGTGCGGCTAGAATAACGCTCTTGATTTGCCCGCATTCGCGCAGCTGGAGGACGACTTCGTCGACTTCATGTCGGAGTTCGACCCGTCGGTCTCCACGGACCCCGCGAGCACCACCACGCCCAGCGTTTCCGCCGACGGCGACATGGGACGCCACCCGCCGGAGCACGGCAACGGAACGGAGGGCTACGGCGAGGACTCCAACTCCGGCTCCGGCACGGAGGAGGAGAGGAAGCAGCGGAAGGAGCTGGCGGACAAGATCGAGGAGGAGGAGGGCGCCAAGCAGACCAACAGCATGATGCGGATCAAGATGGTCGTCGACTCGCACAAGCGAGTGCTGTCCGCGCTTCGGAAGGTAAGTCGGTGGGGTATTCCGTTTTGAATATAAGCCCCGAGAGAAGTGCGAGCGAGAGTAGGGCAGCACCCTCGCTGGATGAGGGACTTTCGAAGCCCCAAAAGTAACGAGATTCCACACCAACTTTTAACGTCTTGAATGAAAAGCGGTCAAGACACAGAGGGGTGCTTCATGTCACAGATTGAGGCTCACAATCAAATCAAATCCCTAGATGCAAAATTGATGGGCTCGGCACCCGTCCCCTACCGAAACTCTCGGACCTACCCCACCCGTTTCTCTTACATTGCCCTGACTCAGGGTGGCCTTAGCCCAACCCAAAATCAGTACGTACTTAACATCTTCATCGGGCTATCTTGTAGGAGCACGCGGACGCGATGGACGCCCTGCGGCGCGAGAGCATCGCGGGCGCGAAGCGGTTGCGGGACCGTATGGAGAGCGAGTTGAAGGGCATGCGGCAGAGCCAGGCGGAGGACATGGCGCGCCTGCTCAAGCTGCAGGAGAAGTCGGTCGAGGCGACCCAGGTGGGTTTGCAGATAACCCGGTGTTGATCGTTGAGCTCTTCAGCGTTAACCGACCTTCATTTTGCATCTGAGTGCAATTTGAGGCTGCAGGAGAAGTCGGTCGAGGCGACCCAGGGTGGGTTTGTGGATAACCCGGTCTACTAACTCCGGCATAGAGCGGCTTTAACCTCGTACTTGATGAAACGGTTTGACGGTGCAGGAGAAGTCGGCCGAGGCGACTGCGGCCAACCTGGTTTGGTTACTTTAGCGTAGATTGGCGTTGAGTAAGGAACGTAAAGGTGCAGGAGAAAGTCGGTCGAGGCCGCCCTAGGTGGCTTTGCCTTTGATCTGGTCTGGCTGATCACGCGTAGACTGGCCTTCAACTGATCCGGAGGAAGCGATGTGAAGGTTCAAGAGAAGCGTGCTTCGAGTTCCTACTTACTTCGGCTTCCGCAATTGCAGAGGGCGGCTACGGCTGATCCATGGGCGGTCAAGCCCCTTGAGCGCAAGCGCAGCAACCTGATCATAAGTCCGCGCACTTCTAGTCCAGATTGAGTTGAGTGACCCAGATCAGTTTTTAAACCCGCTTTTCTCTACCTCTGCAGAGGGCGGTCACCGCCGAGCTGAAGACGGTCAAGGCCCTGGAGCGCGAGCGCGGCAATGCAAAACTTATTCTGCGATTAATTAAGTCGCTAAACCACTCCGGGTTCCTAACCCACTTCGGTTTTAACCTTCGCAGAGGGCGGTTACGGCCGAACTAAAGACGGTCAAAGCCCTGGAGCGCGAGCGCGGCAATCTATTTCCAAGCCCACGCTTTTCAACCTGTAGATCGAGTGGAACGAACCAAATCAGTTCTTAAACCCGCTTTTCTCTACCCCTGCAGAGGGCGGTTACGGCCGAACTAAAGACGGTCAAGGCCCTGGAGCGCGAGCGCGGCAACCTGCTGGAGTTCCTGGGCTTCGTGTGCCACGAGCTGCGCAACCCGCTGTGCGCGATCACCGGGCTCACGGAGATGGTGCTGGCCAGCCAGGGCTCGACCAACCCGGTGGACTGTACCGGGACGATCCTGACGCAGTGCGTCATCATGAAGCGGATCGTTGACGACGTGCTGGACCTGTCCAAGATCGAGGAAGGCAAGGTCGACCTCAAAGTGGAGCCCATCGACCTCCCGGAGCTGCTCGACAGCACGGTCTCGGCCTACCGGTGAGTGCGTCGCTCTAGTACGTCATCTGGTGTGAACGCCCACGTTGATTTGTAATTCCGGCTCAAGACTTTTCAGTTTTGGCTCTCAGAATGTATCACCTCAAAGTGGAGCCCATCGAGCTCCTGGAGCTGCTCGACAGCACGGTCTCGGCGTACCGGTGAGCGCGTCGCTCTAGTTCTTTATCTGGTGTGAAGGCCCACTTTGGCTTGTAGTTCTGGCTCTGCTTCTCTTGGGTTCTCATGTTGGTCACCTCACATTGGAGCTTATTAAGCTCCTGGAGCTGCTCGACAGCCCGGTGTCTGCGTACCGGTGAGTGCTCGCTCTAGTTCTTTCGCTTGATTCGAATACCCAGCTCAGTTTGCGTTCATTTTCAGCGCTTGCTATGTAAATTAGCGCTGCGCGGTATCACCTCGAAGTGGAGCTCATCGAGCTTGTGGAGCTGCTCGCTAACACGGTTCCGACTTACCGGTGATTTAGATTCTTCGCCTGGTGTGCCCTGTTGGAGACGCCATATCGGGGTGCCGATCACGTTGTCGCTCTAGTTCTTATGGTTGCCACCCCGGATTCTTGCTTCTGAAGTTGTCTTGGGAGATACCCGCTCTACCTTGGGCCAATTGGAGCTTTCTTAGGCATCTTCCTCCACTCTCGCACAAGCTGTACGCTAAGGATCCCGTCTACAAGGAGAGAACCCGGTTCCTTGCTCCTGGCGCTCGATGAGCACTGCTCTTGACTGGACCACTTGAGCTCTTTCGAAACTTCCCCCAGCACTTTTGCGCAGGCTACACCCAAAGCTTTCAAAGGAGCCCCATTCGCTTCCTCGTCTTGATTCAAAGGCGGCTCTGAATCGATTTTTTTGGAGCTGTCCTGATTTCTGAAGACTCTTCTTACTGTTTCGCGCAGGCTGTCCGCTAAGGACCTCCTTTCTTAAGGAGGCCCATCCGGTTTCCATCCTTCTTGAATCAAATGAGGCTCTGAATCAAAACAATTGGAGCTGTTCTAAGCGTCTTCCTACTGTTTCACGCAGGCGGTACGCCAAAGGCCTCCTCTCCAAGGAGGCCCATCCGATTACCTTCAATCTGTTTCGATTCACTTGGATCTAATCGTACCTTTTGGAGCTGTCCTAAAGCCTCTTCCCTACTGTTTCGCACAGGCTGTACGCTAAGGATCTCCTCTCGAAGGAGGCCCTCCCCGGCATGACCCGCCGCACGCGCGAGTCGCTCATCATTACGAGCAAGCTTGAGGACAGCGTCGCGGCGGTTCTGTGGGGCGACAACGTCAGGGTGCGTCAGATCCTGGGGAACCTGACGTCGAACGCGATCAAGTTCACGTACAAGGGCTCGGTAACGATCACCGTTACCCAGCCCACCAAGGGCCAGATCATGTTCTCGGTGAAGGACACTGGGCTCGGGATCTCGGAAACGGATCAGCGGAAGCTGTTCGGGAAGTACGAGCAGCTGGCGACGTTCCGGCCGTCGACCGCCGGAACGACCGGACTCGGGCTGTGCATTAGCAAGAGTTTGGTGAAGCGCATGGGGGGCAAGATGGGCGTCGACTCGAAACCGAAACAGGGGTCCACCTTCTGGTTCACTCTGCCCGTCATCGACCCCCCCGTCAAGGCGAAGCGCCGCTCTGTGGTCGGACGCAACGACTCCCCCCGGGGAGACGGGGGGATCCCCCAGCTGTTGATGCCGGAAATGCCGCGGGAGATCACCAGTGGGCCCCCCCACGTGGAGATCCACCGGGAGCCCGCCCCCAAGCCCGAGGACCTGGTGCTGACGTCAGACGACCTGCGGGTTCTGGTGGCGGAGGATAACCCGGTCCTGCAGATGACGCTGAAAGCGATGCTGATGCGCCTGGGGATCACGCCCGTGGTGGTCGGGAACGGAGCGGACGTCGTGAAGGAGTGCGGCGGCGATCCGTTCGACCTGCTAATCCTGGACATCCAGGTGAGCGGAACGGAATGCGACCGGAAGAGAGGGGTCCGAGAGCACCCTTACGATTTAGCTCCTTTCTTCGCCCGATGCTTGCTTGAATTACCCGTTTCAGTGAAAGTGCGCCATAATCAGAATGTCATTTGAAGGCGCAGCACCAATTCCCGGATCCCAGCTCTGTGCCCTTCCGAACGAGTTGCCCAAGACAAACGACAGTACTGGACGTCCCAACCGGCATGGTCTGCTAAATCGAGAAGAATATCGGTTAAAGCTGTCGCCCGACAACACGAGCTTTGCAATTTCAAACCCCAGCTCACGATGCTTTGCAATTTCCAACCATAGCTCACGAAGCTGAAAGTTCAAACACTTGTTATTTACATTGCAGATACCCTACCGTCATTCTAAGAAGGAACCTAGACTCTGCAGATGCCCGAGATGAACGGCGACACCCCCCTGGCCGCCGTTCTGCAGAAAGAGCACCCGCTGAAGGCGGTCGCCCGAGCATCTAAACCACGTACTCTAAACCCGAAAATGAGACCCTAAACCCTGCCCTTAACCCCTGCAGATGCCCGAGATGAACGGCGACACCGCCCTGGCCGCCGTCCTGCAGAAGGAGCACCCGCTGAAGGCGGTCGCGTGCACGGGCGACGCGATGCCGCACCAGATCGAGCACTACAAGAAAGTGGGTTTCAGCGCGGTCGTCACCAAACCCTTCACGTTCGCGGAGCTGACGTCAGCCCTGCTGGAGATGGGCATCCTGAGCAAGAAGGAGGACGCCGTCGAGACCCCCGCGGACCCCGTGACGCAGACCCTGCAGAAGATGTTGTCCATATAAGTATGCAGGTGCCCGCATAGCTATAGAGTGCCCCGGTAGGGTTTGGCCAAATTTTGGACAGGGGGCAGAGCCGGGCCTGTATCTTGTAAAATGATGGTCCGGCCTGCGTGCGAGTTGAGGAGACGATGTTGGTTGAGTTGACCGGCAGAGTATGGGTTTGGGAAGCTTAACCCGGGTCTCTTTGGGCTTGATTAAGGGCCATCTAGCTGGCCCAAAAGCCGCCCATTGGCCGAGTCCGCAAATTTTCTGGCAGAGGGAAATCTGGGAAGGGGACTTACTAACGGATTAGCAACGGACAGAACAAACGAAGTAGGACGGAATTGCGGAGTTACGGGGCTATACAACGAAGAGGCGCCAGCGTATGACAGAGTTCGCGCACACTAGGACAGCAGTACTTGGCTCACTCAGGTACACGGTTTAGGGTGCGGTATGCAGCCAAAGGGCGCATCATTTGACAATTGCGAGGCGGTTAGTTGCATATGCGGCGACTGGATAGAGGCGGGCAGCTTAGATCCGGTGACCGATCGAGATGCATTCCATCTGGTTTCCAGAACCCTGGGAGTTGGATATGGTTCAGCTAGCTAGATCATCATTGACTTTGGATGCATGCATGTAGCAAGTAGTCAGATCCCCCCGCGCAGCAAAGCCGACGTCAGGTAATAAAAGGAATCTGACTCGAACGGAGATTGTAGATGGTGAATTGAGTTGTCACACAGTATTTCGTGACTGGGACCTTGATCTTTGGTTTGATCTAGACTCTAATTCATGTAAGTTAAGGACTTGATTATGTAGCATAGCTGGAGAACTCGAGCAGAGTGAGGATTCAAGGCGCTCAAACTTAGTAACAGCGCGCTGAAACCCGGAACTCGTGATCAACTTGCAGCTAGGAACATACTTATCTTTATCAGGACGGATTGGATGGACCAGTCGTTGGATGACTACGGCGCACCCGGCCGGCAGCTCCGAATGATCATTTTAGGTTTGTTGCGTTGCAGCCGGCTTTTGCGGGGGACTGCGTTGCCGCCCTCAGAAGTCCCACTTAGTGTAAGCTAGGCATACGACCTCATCATGCCAGGCATGCAGACAATTAAGCGTTACGTTGCATCATGCACATGCGTACGTACACAAAATATGGGTCGGCCACGATCTGTCTCGGTTCATCCCATGCTAATAAGAAACGTTTGGGTTGGCCGGTGTAACGATCTGCGCGTTGTTTTTCTTTAATTTCGTGAAACGAAGACAGTGATGGTCGGCGCTTATAGTAACTAGGTTCATTAAGCAGCGCAACGGATTGACTCCTTGCGGCAAGGACCAAGCGATCGACGGGCCTACTAGCTAGCTCATCTTTTAAGTAGATCGGATCACGCGCGCAAGCTTGATCGAAAAACACGACTTTCAAGAAGAGCCGACTGGCACCATGGTGCACGTTGTGATGGTTGCTTCTTCTTAACTAAAGACCCTGGCTGGCCTTCAAAATTGCAATATCAGCTTTAATTCAAGCGCGCAAGAGATGATATATTGCATGAGCCTGCAAGCCACGGCCGGCTGCGAACATAAACAACTTCGTACAGTTGAGAACCTGGTTCATATCTTTGCAAAAACATTTATGAAGAGTGTCGGGGACCTAGCTCATGCATAGAGGTCATGCAGCGCCGGCCCCTGCCATTATACGTACGGAGACTTGAGCTGCTCATGTAGGAAATACACTTGGCTTAGTACAAACCGCGGTTTGGGCCTAAGCTCGTAGTGCAGGCTTCGGGTTGATGTGCATGTTTGCACCGCTCATTTGAATGCTGTTAATTTAGCTGCACGGTCGGATGGAGCCCGTAGGGACAAGCATATACGAATGCCAGATAGTACTAAATCTTTGAACACGTTTCCGTCGGACCAGCCTGGCAGGGAGATCAACATACTCAGCAGTATACGGCCGTCAACAGCCTATATAAGTTCGCCATGCAAACTTTTTGCTCCAGATTTTCAGGAGGACCCGTGGCATCATTTGCGAGCCTTCATAACTTGTTGACATGCAAAGAATGTCACTCAACAAACACCACACATGAGCCACCAACAAACGCTTGTAGTCTGACCGCAGAACAATCATTTGAGTCGCTGACTTCACCGGATCAACCGCGGACATCAGGCAAGCCAACTTTAGAGAAGCAAGACTCATAACAATCGCATGGAGAGTCTTGTAAGTCACTGCTCAATTGTACGGATGAAAGCGCCTGCCGCTCTGTCCCGATCCCGACGTTGACCCGTAGGAGGAGGACGCCTGCCTCCCCCCTCGAACTGGACCTGTACCCGCTCCAGCACCGCCCGCTTGTTGTCTGCAAAAAAGCAACGAAGCCTATATAAGCAGCGGCTTGCATGAATCGAGAGTTAGGAGAAGCCTCAGCGGAGCATCTCTCCAGTACACAGCCACCATAGAAGCGCTGCACGAAAGGAACCACTTTATGTGACCACGTGGCCACTCTTTAGCCTCTATTGCAGCAGCTCGGAAACCCTGGCTCATCATCAGCAGCTATGAGACGATTCACATGCGCCAACTATTTTTGAAGTGCACCAGTCCAGCCCCTTATGCGCAATCGTTCAAAGCGTTAGAGCTGAGTCCGGGGGCCACGAAATGGACCGCTTAGACTACAGCTAAAACCGACAAAATCAACCCGGCTGCAAAACTCTTCGGTTCACAATCACCGCCTCAGCGTCAAAATCGCTCAGAGGTGGTATTGTTGAATAATGTGGCGCCATGGGAACTTTAAGAGGTTTGCAACAGAGCGGCCGCCGAAGAAGCAAGATGACAACGTGTTTACAACATGAGGGCGACCACTTTTTGGACAACCGTTCGAAGACCCAGCAAGACTAGACAGTTTCTTGGCCGCTTTTGACGGCGATAAGTCTCCGGAATCGCCCAGTTTGCAGTCGGGAGCATCATCGACAAGACAGACAAGCACGATCCTGCTCGTAAGCGAGACACCATTTTGTCCGGCCGCGTGTGCTCTGTAGCAGCTTGCGGAGATTATGCAGGCTGATGACAGGTGTCAGAAGAGAAGAAGTCTTGCGGACGAGACTCACAGAATGTAGCCCACTTGGCCGTCCGGAAGCTGCATAGGGACCATAGTCATCCCGGCGGGGGCCTGGATGAACGGCATCGCCGGCTGCATGCGAAAAACAATCATCATGGACGGTGGAATCAATCTGGTTGCGTAATTTTCTGCGTTCTTTGAAGGCGCTCGTCCCCATTTCTGGCCTCAAAACTTTCTCATTCCCCGCATCCTGACTGCTGAGCTGTTTGGAATGCCAGACTGCGACGGCCACGTCTGGAAAATCAGAGCAGGCGACCTGATCGAGCACAGCACGAACTAAGCAACAAGTAAGAGTAACCGCTTGTCACGAGCATTCCACCAGCCTCCAGAGCCCCAAAATGATAAAAGCGTATTTGCGCCTTTCATAAGCACGGCCTCCGCAGCGAATAACAGACTTCTAAAGAATTCACTTTCCTTAGAAGTCTAATTCACCCAAGACGCCACAAAAAGGTCAAGTTCTGCAATCGACCTGAGGAAGCCCGCATTATGAAATCATAGCTAGATTACCACCCGAAAACGAGTGAACCGCTTCTCCCACCTGCACTTGCGTCTGCCCACCCCTCCTGCTGCTGCCGCCGCTATAAGCGGTCCCGTACGCCCCATAAGCGTTCGCCCCCCTGGCGGGCGCCACATAGCCCCCGTACGGCTGCTGATAGCTTATACCCGCAAAAGCGGTAGCCATTTGCGCACCCTGCGAGGCCCTCGGCTGCCGCTCCGGGGGCGGCCGGGCGAGGCTAACCTCCAACTCGTTACCTGCAAAGAATTTGTTTCGCCTGTTTGCTGCTTACATATCCTTGAACGGTACTCATGCAGTGTCTCGTAAACGTGCTGAAGCTGTGGGTTCTATTGGTCAGAAGCCTCACCCAATTCGAACGCCAAAAACACAACTCAATCTTTTCATCTCGTGCGTCGTGACCTTCTCCATTGCTACCTTCAAAAACCAGGAGCCCTCTGGTGAGAAATTACCTGAGATGCACTCAGAAATCAAAAGGCCCTGAATCCAACAGACAAACATACTCTTCAAACGCCAAAGCTCATGCTACTGAAGCCCTGCAATGCCCACCTTCCATCTCGTGCTTCTGGTCTTTTCCCACTGGCTGCTTCCAGAAACCTTGGACCCTCTAACTTACTCAGAAACAAAAAAACAGCCAAACATCGAAGCCCTTGAGTTATTGAACACCAGTCTGTCCTCAAACTCTGAAAATAGAACAAACATCAAACTTGCAATTCCCACCTTCCATCTCGTGCTTCTGGTCCTTCTCCATGGCCGCGATTGCAGCCTTCCGGTCCACAAAGTGCACGAACCCGAAGTTGCGCGGCGGCTGGCCGGGCTTGGGCGGCGGGATGACGGCGCGCTCAATTTCGCCGTACTTGACAAACAGCTCGCGCAGCTTCTCGTCGGTTGCGGACTCGGGCAGGCCCTTCACGTACAGCACCTTAACCTGCGGGTTATGCAGGTGGGTTAGCAGAGATGGCGAGGAAGAAAGCATGGGTTATGCTTTTCACGTAAGGTGACAGGTCGCCGTACTTAATAAAAAGCTCGCGTAGCTTCTCGTCGGTGGCGGACTCGGGTAGACCCGTCAAGTACAGCGCCTCAAACCGCGGGTTACGCAGATGTGTTAGCAGCAACAGGGAAGGAGAGAAAGACGCGGAAAATCAAGATAACAGCACGGAGAGGCTCTTCAAGATAAACTAGGGGGAAAGGACGAGACTAGGGGGAAAAGGACGAGAATGGGTGAGGATTGAAGCGACTTGCAACGGCCTTTGTGTTGTAATTGAGCAAGGACTAAGAAGTGGTTTCCCAATGGAGAACGTTAACCAGCACGTAACAATGATGAGTCAGCAAAGGCTAAGATGAGCAGCAAGGCAACGTGAGCGTCCTCACGACTTACACCAGGCCCACATGCCCACACGAACTTTTAAAATAAGATGAACAGAGAGACGGGTAAGAACAGCTGGCAGAGTAAGGGCGATCGTCAGGTGGCTTTCAAGACAGGGGGATACACTCAGGAAATACCCTGAGGATAATGCTTTTAGAACGGGAACCTCCAGACTCGGATCAGCATGCGCGCCGTTGGCCAGCTTTGAAAACCCGAGAAAGAACAGTGCTACGAGCCCAAAACCCAGAACTTGGAGACGAAAGGGAAGATCGGCCCGCACCTGAGCAAGCTCGCTTGCAGACGTTTCGGAGCTCTTGGCCTCGGCCCACGAGATGGTCACTTGCCGGCCCCCCAGCCGGAAGTCCTGCCGGATCATCTTTCTCCGCGAGTGTTCTGCCGCGGCGTGGTTGTAAAAGTCGATGAAGAGGAAGCCCCGGTTCTGGGACGGGTTCTGGGGGTTCTGAGCAGAAGAAACGGTGGAGGAATCTTAGGGTGAGAAAAGTATTGTCTTGCAAAAACGACCATCTACTCTGGATGCAATCATTGCAGTGAAGTAGATTGTACCTTGAATGCTCATAAGGCAGCACACCTGGCGGCGTCCTTCGTAAACGGAAGGACACGTCTAGCACAGCATGGGGAGTCACTGAGCGCCTAAGTTTGGGTGTGCAAAGAACGAAGAGAGTACCAAGTGCTAGACGACTATACTGTGCTCTACATGCGGAGATTCGCCGAGCAGTAAATTGAAGGGACGATGGAGTCTCTTAGGCTAAAAGCCTGGAACGAAAAGCGTCCACAGGAACAAACGCCTATCCCACAGATGCAGATACAGGAAAACCGTCACGAACCATGTGACCTCGGAATGCAGCAAAGCTTTGCTACAGGTCGAAAAGGGCTTGCCATGCCCGTATACCAAACGGCCCCTCAAAAGTGTTGCTTCCTGTGCCCTTATACATTCAAGAACGACGTCAAACGAGTGATTCGACTTACAGTAGGGACGTCGATAGACTCGGCGCCTAGCGTGACCTCCTCCAAATGCTCCCGGAGCGTCTCTTTTGTCAGGTCCCTAGGAATGCCCCCCACAAACAGGCGGTGCTTCGACTGCGAGTTGTTAACCCTCACCGACTTACCCTGCAGCGAATGCAGTTATGCCAGTTTCTTAAAAATGACTTTTGCAGAAAGGCTAATTTCCAGCATACGGTGTATGCTGAAGACTGGAGCAAGAGCGGAATAGAGCTCGAGTCTCCTCAATCCATTTTCTGTTCGACATGTCCAGTCAAAACTGTCAAGCTCCTTAAGCGACAATTATCCTCTTAAGTGCACCAGACGGGTCCACTTCGGCTGATTGAGGCAGCTGCAGTGAAAACTGATAGGTTCCCGCTGTAACAGGATGAGAAAACCCTGCTTATTGTACAGAACTCATACAAAGTTCTACGTGCCGGCACGTATGCTAGTCTGCGTGCTCCACACGACGTGCCGGCACGTGCAAAATGGTAATGTTCAGAAAGAGATTACAAAGAACAATAGGATGAGATAATAGTTTCTAACGGACCGGCTGACGTGGCGGCCACATGATGCCCTCAGAACGCACGAGCATAATGGGAGCTCCTTACAAACTTAAGCAGTATCTGGTAAGCTGAAAGAAGTGAGACCCTCATTCGACTTCCATACCTTAATCTCCAAACTTTGGAAGTCTGTGACAGCCTTGGCAGCAGCCTCCCTTTCCCGGTATGTAACGAACGCAAAACCCCTCGGAGTCTGGTCCTGGGGGTCCCGCGCTATCCTGACCTGCAAAGATTGACCACCCGAGATGTTCGAGCTTGAACGTGTTGATTCCATGTGATTTGAGACTCCACAGTCAAAGACGAAAGATAAGATGACCGAAGAACGGAAATTGGCAGTCTCACATTCAAAGAGGGTGCTTCAGGGGTTCGACTGCCAGCGAAATGCAGTTCCAAATTGTTAAGAAGAATGATGAGAGGCTCAAAGAGTCTGATTTGCCAGCCAAGTAGAAGTTTCACAATCTTAGCATGGAAAGGAGCCATTGCTCCTGCATGCTTTTACATATTGGAACCAAAGCACGAGATCAAGGGCTTACAGGAGGTCCAAGCTTTCCAGCCTGCCGCAAAGGCTTGCTAACGACAAAGTCCTGTTTAAAGTCGACTTCGCACGTGAATGTAGTGCTATACGATGCCACCCTATCAGTAGTGGTGGCTTTCAAGAAAGAATTTACATGATGTTGGTTGGTAATAATGACAACTGGGGTGTGAGTGCCATTTCGTGATCAAGCACAGGCCTCCTAGAAAGACAATGCAAAGTCCTTTGCTGTGTCATCAAGGCCTCTCCAAGGAGCGACTCTCTTTTTTAGAAACGGAGTGAGGCCCCTGAAATGCAGACGGCCTAGAGTCCATCGCAATGAATGAACGAACAAGCTGCGAAAATGCCAACAGTAATGTCGGCGCAAAAGACAGCAATCAGCTTGCGCAAGCGCAGGCAACCCACCGCAAACACTTCTCCCGCTGAGCTGAACGCCTCTTTCAATTCATCCTCGGTCGTCCCCTGGGGGATGCCCCCGACAAAAACCTCGGTCCCATGCGGGGGCAGCTTCATGGGGTCCTTGTCCGCATCCCCATCCCATTTCTTGCCCTCCTCTTTGTGGTGCTCGCCGCCCTCTTTCGCTGCTTCTGCGGTTTCAGCGGCTTCCGTCTCCGCTTGCGCACCCTCTCCTTCGTGATCTTCGCCTGTGGGGTTGGATAGAGCGCAATTTGTCAGCAGGCAGCACACTTGCAACGCTGACGGCATCATGCTCTTGATGGCTGAAGTTTCGGTGGTCAGGTTAATTGGCGCTGTAGTATTGCAAAACGCAGGGAGCACTTGCCAGCGAAGGCACCATGTTCCCTGGAGGCTGGTGCTTCAAGGTTGTAAAAAGTTGAGTCTCAGCATTTGCAGACTGCATCGAGAACAGCAATGCAGAATGACTCTGAACCAAACCCCAAAATCTTTCTCGTTACAACCATACTGGAATTTGAACCGTCCTAAACCACTCCCGCTTAAGGTCCAATCTGCATGCATAGCTAACTTCCTTCATTATGTGCTTCTTTCTTGACCATGTTTTGTTCTTCTATGATGGAGCGACACTAGTGGTCGAGGCAACAAGTCTTTAGGCTGCAACTGGGTACGGAAAGGCAGAAATGCAGAATGCAGAGCAGAGATGGAACTCCACAGAGCAGTCGAAGGAAAAGATCCTGCACCTGATGTTTGCTGCCGCGAGAGCCTACAGAATCAAGAAGCGCTTGCCGGCAGCGCCACGTTCACCAGGAGGCTTCGGCACAAAATTTACTGGCATCCAATTGTTTGATCATTCCACCACCAGTCCTCGACGAACTCAAGACATAATGCAAAAAGCCAGGCAAAAGATCAAATGCAGGATTGCGACGTACCCTCATCGCCATCCGCTTCCATGTTGGTCCCCTCTCCCTCCCCTTCTCCCTCTCCATCATTGTCTTCTCCTTCTCCAACCACCAAGTCTTGCTCCTCCTCTTCCTCTCCCTCCCCTCCCTCTTCCTCTAACTCTTCATCCTCGTTCTCCTCATTGGCCTCGTGATCTTCTTGGTCATCATGATCTTGCATGCCGTCGCCCCCCTCCCCTTCCTCCTCTTCATTGTTGTTCTCATGCTCATCATTCCCGTCATCTTCTACATCTACGTCAGAGTCCTCCTCCTCCTCCTCTTCGTGGTGCTCCGCATACGCCTCTTGTTCCTCATCCATGCTTCTGCCGACGTGTGCTTTGGGAAGCTTTGTGCGAATGCTGACTGTGCGGTGGTCGTCAAGATGGCGTCATCCTGAACAAGACAAAAGACAACGTGCATTCGGAAACAAGAAAGCGGACTGCGCCGATGGAAGGCCAAAGGACGGTGGCCGGTGGGGGCAAAGTAAGAGGATATTGCAAAGCGGAACGCCATAGCGGCAGGTGAGAGGAGCTGATAAAAGCAAGAACGGAAACTGAACAGAGGAGCTGTGCAGGCAGCGAATGAATGCAAGCCAAGATGAGGAGTTTGGATGCAGGGAGAAGGACATAAAGCTGGGCACAAGCTGGAAACTTGCTCCCTGACGATGCACCCACCACGGAGCTTGAAGACGAGCGCCCTTCCTTGACCAAGAGGGGACCAACTTTCTCAGTTTCTGGGTTTCGTTTGCCTCTGCGGAAGCCATGAAAGCAAACAGAACGGGGCGACGGCAAATGCGTGGCGTCTACTAAAGGGTCGCCAACATAGAGCACGTGACACGACTCCACAGCATAGCTTATGGGACCAAATGCACACCTGTCGACGTTCACTTTCGCGCCACTTTCACAGCTCCCCCTTCAAATTCTTTGGTGCTGGCGCCACCACAGTGGTTAGCTGAGACGAGTTGAAGAGCCGCTTCCTTGCAAGACGCAGAGTTGCTCAGAAGTAGCTGAGGAGGGAAGAATGAGGCCGTCTCAGAGCTGTTTCTTGAAGGAATGTGGCCTTTTCTCTTTTGAATGGAACAAGAAGGAGTCCCTTTGTAAGTCCTGAAGTAGAAAGAAGCAAGGCGGCAAGAAAGACAACTTACTGTCGACAGCTTCACTTTGACGTCCTAGAAGGATCGAGATGGCCGATAGAAGCAGGAGACAGAGGAGAGGTGAAGCTGACAAGCTCAGCGTCTTTGAGGAGTTAGTCAATGCCAGAAAGGGTGAGCATCTTTGCTACATTGCTGTCATCAGATTGAGGTCACACTGCTCTGGCGAATTGTACAAGAGATGGCGAAGTTCCGTCGTTTAGATTCTAGAGCAATTCAGATCAAAATCTTCCTGAGAGCAACCGCACCTTAAGCGCATATGTGAAACTTATTGTCCGGATCAATCTTAGTGTGCGTTGATATTGTCTGTTTGTCTAGACATGGTGGAACAAGAAACTCTGCCGGTCACATGTGGTGATCCTCAAACAATGCTTGACAAGGTTCTGGATAGACTTCCTCTGTCCTGGAGAGCTGTAACGCGGTGACTGGGCAAACTGCTTGATCTGTGGAGATGGGTGCACCTGGCAGTGTCCTTATGATGCTAAGAGAACACCTCTCGGCTACTTCAGAAGCTTCGTTAAAGCGACTGCGTCAGGGCCAAACCTGGCAGTGTGAAGTCAAGTTGCATTTTCAGTGTCCTTACACGCTCATGGCTCGGGGCACCCTGTGCTTAGATACTCCAATTCCAGGAAATTACTGAGCGCCTGAGTCCTGTCTGCATTTGCTCAGTTGCCTGCAAAGTTCTGTGTTTGTTCCCAGCTCTTGAGCTCATCTGTGACCTTTCTCAGGTGCCAAGAAGCGCCTGGAGACCTTCTCGATTGCAGAGGAGGCCCCCGTCTACGATGTCGTCAATTTGCAAGAATACGCTGACATCGTCGCGAAGAGGCGAGAGGCGGGGGGAGGGTTTGTAGAGGGAGAAGACACCCTAGGTTATGACGATGTTGGGGAGGACAACTGGGACGTTGGAGGGGATGATTACGAGGACCAGGCTGACGGTAGCAAGAAGAGGGCCAGGAAAGAGGCAGCAGCCCCGGGAGAAAAGAAGAAAGTTGTTCCGCCAAAGGCAAAGAGCGCTGTGGCGCTTGCGGCCGCGGCGAGAGGGGGGCGCAGCCTGCAGAGCATGTGGGCGAAAGGGGGCATGCCGCGGGGGGCTGCGAAGCTTAAGACTCCAAAGGTATATTAAAATGCTGTTGAGTAGACCTTAGTTGCCTGCAAAGCTGTTCAAGGGAACCTGTCATTTGGGCTTTGGCAGATGGCTCCTTCAATCACACTGCTCAGTGAGGTTGTTGAGTTGAACAACATCCAGAATTGGCCTGAAGGACTGGGGACAGTTCAGCTACATACCTATTACTGCTCTTGGAGTGATTTGCTCATCGGTTTCGATTCTTCTGTATAAGAGTCAGATGAATCCAGAGAATGTCGTAGGTCGAGTTCCGCTCGCCACCCTTTAGTCCCGAGAAACAAGCTTTTCGGTAGCAGCCAAACACAGCGACGCTTTTCAGATTGGTCATGTTCTTGAGATACAATCAACTCCAGCTCATTGTTCAATAACCAGATTTCAACATAAACATCTCTGGGATTGCAGGATGCAGAGCAGGCAGCCAGCGTTCTGGACGACATTCTGGCGGGGATCACTCCGGACGCTTCGGACCGGCAGCGCGTCCTTAGCGACCGTCCGACTTTCGGCGCTTCCGTCCAGACCAGCAGCCCCGTCCGGCTAGCTCCCGTCACGCCTTTCTCCTCTTTCCCATCCGCAAGAGAACAGGTCACTCCAGCGACAATTCCAGCATTTAGGCACGCAAGTGTTGCAAAAGGTACAGACGGGATGCGGAAACCCGAGGTTAAGCAGGAAGAAGACGAGTTTGAGTTCCCAGCCCCGGATGACCCGATGCCGGATGCCCCCTTGGAGCCCGAGCTCAGCTTCGGGGCGAATCTGGCAAAGGAAGAGGACGGTCCTGAAATTGGGACAAAGGCGGAGAACGTAGAAGCTGAAGCGGAGGAGAATGCGCAAGCAGCCAGAGTAAATGGCGCTGCGGCGCAGGTCAAAGAGGAGCCTGTAGGGGAAAGTGAGGAGGGGCGTGTGAAGGAGGAGAGGCCCAACCCAAAGCGGCAGAAGGTGCCACTCCAGGAAACGGCGTCTGCTGGATGGCAGGTGGGGGCAGGCTCTTTTCTTGGCGTTGGGTTTTGGCACCATCTTACTGATGAAGGGGGTTCTAAGGCAAAAGCTCTGTTATGCATGTGACCAGGTGCGGGATATTCCCAAGAAGGACTGTGTTGGTGCCACCTCCGTTTTCACAGCATGGAAGTGCTTTTTGGAAGTACTCTTTCTGCTGTTCTTGATTGATTGGTTTCTTGAAGCCGCAAGAGTTGTTTGAGCCTTTTGCGGACCGCCCCTTATATGCCTTTATTCAAGTGGCTGTTCAGGCGTCAGACAGCATTGTGCATTCCTGTGAGCTTCAAAGGCCGGCGGTTCACCTATCTCAAAGAGTCTGTTATGCAGCTATTCCATCTCAAGCGCTCTTTGCCCGATGCAGGAAGTCTCTAAACGCGCCGCTGTGCCTGACGCCCCTTCACCCAGTGCGAGTCCAGAGCCCCAGCGACCGTTGGAAGACCAGGCACTCCCTCTGACAGAGAACGGCTGCCTGCCCTTCTTCTTCCTGGATGCATACGAGGAGCCCAACAAGGGGCCCAACAAAGCTGACGTGTACCTTTTTGGCAAGGTAGGCGGTTTAGAGGTCTGGCTTACATTTGAGGGTTCGGGTGCCAAACAGAAAAGGTCACCATAGTTCTGCTTTCCAGATGAATCTGCATCCTGGCAGCATCGTTGGGTATACATTTTTAAAAACCAAGGAGCACTTCGCTTGTGTCTTTTGGTTGGAAAGACTTGTTTCGTGTCAACGAAGATAAAAACGACGGAAGGAAGTAGGAGGAGGACGCTTAGAGTCCCTGTGCCGTCAATCAGATTCTTCTCATGGTCCTAGCCATAGTAAAGGGCTGCTTCGGTCCTTTCACTTTGATGCGCAACCCGACTTTCACCGTCCCTAAAATCCGACTGTCAAACAAAGTAATCCGCCTCCACACTCTAACTCCCCTAAACATTGACGGCCCAAAGTCGCACCCCTTTTCTGACCGCTTCTGAACAATATCTGCCCAAGATGATATAAGTCTCGAGTCAACCTTCTACCCCTCCTCTGCTTGCAGGTCCCCATCGACAACGAGTACGTCAGCTGCTGCGTGCGCGTCCACAACCTGGAGCGCAGCGTCATCGCCGTCCCGCTCCCCGACACGTTCTCCGACCCGGACATTCCGCTCCTCGAACAAGATTCCGCTCCCGGAAAACGGAACGACCCGCTCGTGAAACGGCTCCACGTCCTGAGCACGGACATGAAAACCGAGCTGCGCGACGTGCTCAGAACCCGGGGTGTCGACAGCACGGAGGCCTTCTTCCTTCCCGTAAAGCGCTCCTACGCGTTCGAGCGGGCGGACGTGCCCAAGGGTGAGGGGTACTTTCTGGAGGTGAATTACCCGTTCCGGCACCCCCCCCTGGAGGCGAATCTTGCGGGGAAGCACTTTGCGGCGCTGCTCGGGACGCAGACGAGCGCGCTGGAGCTGCTGCTGTTGCAGCGGGAGTTGATGGGGCCGAGTTGGCTGCTAATCGCCAACCCGCAGAGAGTGACCAACGGGCAGGTGAGGGCAAAGCTGGCCTAACGTGGTTGTTTCTCATACATCCTCGAAGGCAAAATATCACTGAAACTCAATCCTAAGAGAGACCAGAGATGACGAATGTACAAATGGTGATGTAAAGCTGAGTGTTCATTTCGCTCAGCTGCATGTTACATGCCAACTCGCAGAGGGTGACCAATGGCCAGGTGAGAGCGAAGTCGACCTAGTGGAAGGTGCGGTGTCCGTACGCAGCAGAATGTTGCCACTGTGGTAAATCAAAATGAATGATTTGAGTCCTGAGGTGGTGGGCTAACCTTAAGTTTGAGAAGGGCGATCAGTTTTGTGAGTTTGCTTGGCAACCCTGTGGCAACCTGAAGGTGGTGAAGGATTTGTATTGGATTTGAGAACGTTTCGCTGGTTGGTCCAAGTTTTTTCAGGGAAGGGCTCTGATTTGCTTTTCTTGGGGCGCAAAGTTTTAACGGGGTTGTGCGACGCGGGCACTTGCGCTCTGACATCCTTGCGTGGGAGGGCTTGCTGTTGTAGCCCACTTGCTTCTCACTCATACGTCCGACTGCCTTCACTTAGTGCATCTCCCCTGAACTTAGGAATCAAGACCGAGTATCCGCGATTCCCTGTTCTTGCACGCTCGTCTCGGGATTTCCAGAGGCTCTACTTGCAAGCTCGTTAGCTCCCCAAGGATCCACCGTCCGGTTGCATTCGAACTTCAAGTGGTTACACCGCAGATGTCCGGATTTCTTCCACTGTTTTTCATCTCTTTATTGCACGCTCTCAAAGTCGCTGAAACCCAAAGGCTAAATCTTCGGACCGATCCGCAGGTGAGCTGGTGCAAGCTGGAAGTCTCCATCGACAAGCCCGAAAACGTCAGCATTGAGAAGTTCCCCATCGGCGTGCGAGAGCGCGACACGCCGCCCCTAGTTGTCGCGTCGCTCAACCTCAAGACGGTGATCAACCACCAGCAGAACGTGAACGAGATTGCTGCGGCATCGATCGTCTACAACAAAGCGGTCAAGGTAAGCGCTGCTCGTCTTCGCTTTCTGCTGCACTGATCTTTCAAGACGTCTGTCTTTTCTTTTGCGATGCATGTATAGCTTTGCTTACTCGTAATAAGACTACAGCCATCTTGACTTCGCTTCTAAAGCTGCTCACGTGGTTCGGCCGACGCCCGGGCAAGACTTTAACGGATCTCCCTGGTCCCCGCGATCCTCGAGATCACGCGGTCCTACGTAGCGACCGACCGAGTCAAAGATACTCCTGTGGAAGTCGCCGGCGGGAATGCTTTTCGCCCAAGCCACGCTCTGTTTTAAAAAATACTCCCCCGGTCGCAGATCGACGGACCGACCCCAAAGGCGGAGTGGAACACCCCGGCCGCGCTGGGCCACTTCACCGTGGTCCAAAAGCTCGGGAGCTTCCCGGTTGGGTTCACGAACGACGCGGACAAGATCAACACCGAGGCGGGGCACCGGGTCTTGTTCCACGAGACCAAGTGAGCGCCGCTGCTTATGCCCGGTTTATGTTAGATGTTGGCCGCTTGGGTCTGTCTATTATGGCGGCTTGGGCTGCGCTCGTTTGTTTCATAAGCGCAGGGGACTCTAAAAAGCTCGTTCGTCGTCATCAATCACAGCAGCTCGTCGACACCCCTTCCGTTTCCTCACTGCTCCGCTTTTGTTTGAGTAGCTTCAACTGCCGACTGCCTCTGTCTCGTCGACCGCTTTCCTCCTGCCTCCGTTCGTCCCTTCCTTTCTATGCCTACTGTTCCAGCTGAGTGGGTTTGTCTCTTTGATTCTGTCTGTCCTAAAGTCTTCCTCGTTTCACCATAAGAACTCGAATGCCTTCCTTTTACACTTCGCTCCTAAGCCCGGAAAGCTCAAACAAAACACTTAAAGAGAAGAACCCCCGTTGCAGTGAACGTGCGCTGCTCCACTGCTTGCTGGCCAACCTCAAGAACCTCGACGCCGACGTTCTTGTGGGTCACAACATCTCGGGTTTCGATCTGGACGTCCTCTTGCACAGGCTCGAGGTAAGCCGCCATGTGTCCGTGAGAAAATTCACCACTTGTCGGAACGAACCTGACGGGCTGGCAATCTTGGAGTGGGAGACTTTTGGAGTACGCGATCTACAAATGTCGAATTGCATACTGCTCGTCTTTTACCTTCATCGAACTACGAAATCAGTATCTTCGGGTATAATTCAAGGGGGAAAATGAGTGCTTGCGAAACGTCATTTCGGCACTGGTGAGAACGGCAGACTTGCTTGCCTGGACGCAACTTCCCAAAAAGGCACTCCATTCATATGTCAGAGGCTCCCATTCTGCAATGCTCAGTGATACTCAAGGCCGCGATCAGGCGGTATCGTAAGGGCAAGTTATTGAACCTTTGCAAAGCAGAACCTCTCAATACGTATGTACTCCGAGTCCAATCGAACTTCTTGCCCTTACTTCGGCTGCTTTGCCCCAGGCTCTGAAGGTCAACTGCAATAGCTGGTCATCCCTCGGTCGCCTCAGACGCAAGACGATGCCCAAGCTCGGGGGCGGCGGCGACCGGTTCGGCGGCGGCGCAGGCCCCGGGATCATGGCAGTCATGGCGGGGCGGCTGCTGTGCGACACGTATCTGTCCGCCCGGGAGCTGCTCAAGGAGGTGAGAAATGAAACTTAGCGAGATGGAGGGGTCGGTCGACGGCATACCCAAATGCTGGTCCTTGCATTCATTGAGAAGAGTGAAGGAAAGCTCCCGTTCGCTTGAAATCCCTGACTTCGGTCACGCCGTCCGCCTGGGGTCGATTACACACCACCGTCGTTGCAAGCGCCACCGATCGCGTCAAGAGAGCATGCGCGCACAGTGATACGCATGCCCGGAGGATGGCAGCTCTTTATTAGCAACAAGCTCATGTCCCTTGAAAGGGATTCTTAGAGCACCATTCCGAACGTCGATTGGCTTCAAAACACCCATTTGACTCAAACGGTAAATGCTCGCTCTGTCCTTTCAAGCCCGCCACTAAGCAGCTTTCAGGGGCCCGTTTCTGACCACAACTGCCTCCCTCTTCCTCACTCAGACCAGCTACTCGGTGACGCCGCGCACGTCCAGCCAACGGGCGAGGTGCCGGAGACCTACCCCCCGGTACGTACCTTCCAAAGGCAGAATGAACTCAGCCCCATAAGATTCTCTAGCGTGCGATTATAAACATGTGTCCTTTTTCTCCCCCCTCAGGTCAGCTACTCACTGACCCAGCTCGCGTCCAGCCAGCTGGGCGAGGTGCGCGAGGACCTGGACCCGGCCGGTATCCCCGGTATGTACCGCAGCAGCGGCGAGCTGCAGCGGCTGGTGCGCCTGGCGGAGACGGACGCGTGGCTCGCGCTGGGCCTCATGTTCCACCTCAGCGTGCTCCCGCTGACGCGACAGCTGACGTGTCTCTCCGGGAACCTGTGGGGCAAGACGCTGCAGGTGGGTTGCAGTAATGCGGACGAGTAGAGAAATTGCCTTGAAGCTTGCAGCGTTTAGGATGTTGGGCTTCCGGGATCCCTGAAAAGAGACGCTGCGGGTTCCTGTCGATATGTTCTGGTCCAAACTCATACCCTCGCCTAAAGCTCGTGGTTGTCGTCTGCGGTTGGAAGCTGCAAGAATGGGTATGTATGCTTATGAGTGTCCGAAGGGCCAAAGGCGAAACAACCGAACTCGGTCCCGAGCGTGAGCTTCTGCCCAGTGCATCAGCAAGGGCTGAGCCTGAAGCAACCGCACGTTTCTCCGCTTAAACGGGCCGTTGTACCGCAATCGTGAGACGAACAAGTATGCACACTACCATGCTTGTGATGCAAAAGCTGCTTCTGGCAGGTCAAAGCTGACGAGACGAGACAACTGCGGTGTTACCTAAGCTTGCTTTGAACTATACTCTGAACGTTTTTCCGGGTGACAGTTCTGATCGGCTTTTGGACTCTTTTCAGGGCGCGCGTGTCGCATCGAATACTTGCTGCTGCACGACTTCCATGGGTCAAATGGCAAGCAAGCAACTTGGTCCCTCGCAGTAGGGGGCTCAATCCAACGCAACCCCACAACCCTCCGACTTGACGGCCTCTTTGAACCGCAATCATCAGGCAGAAACGTATTCACACCGCTTTGTCTGAACCTTTTTCAGGGCGCGCGCGCACAGCGCATTGAGTACCTGCTGCTGCACGAGTTTCACGGGCGGGGTTTCATCTTGCCGGACAAGCTGACGGCGAAAGAGCGCGAGACGGAGCTACGGAGGGCCAAACACAAGGGCCGGGGCGAAGAGGAAGGGGATGACGAGGGAGAGGGAGAAGCGGCGACAGGTACGCGCTGGGTGTCTGCAGCTTGGTCGCCGTTATGGTGAGAAGATAAGCAAATACAAGATGTTGCTGGAAGGGCACGACGATGGGGGAGGAGAAGCGGCGACAGGTGCGCGCTTGTTGTCAGCAGCTTGGTCGCCGTTTCTGATGAGAGTTGAAGTCAAAAGGGGATGTTGCGGGGTGAAGAGACAAGGCACAGGACGAAACGGCGGCAAATGCGCATGTAGCTTCCGCAGCGTGGTCGCTTTTTGGATGAGAAAACAAGGTGTTTGAAGAATGTTGCAGGAAGGGGAAGACGAGGGAGAGGGCAAGACGGCGCTAGGTTGGTCGTTTCCGGGCTCTTTTGAGTAGAATGTTTCCAATTCGCGGGTCCTTTCGCATATTTGAGAACCAAGTGTTCTCCCCAATTCACGATTTCGAGTCTGCAAGCAAAGGCGCCTGCCGTTTGAACTTTATTGGACTCGCTACGAGTTCGTTGCTTACACTTTTCTTCGAGATGAAGAATAGGACGGTTTCGACGATCCTTCGACCTTTGTACAGACTCTTTTTCCTGGAGCTGATTCCCCCTCTGTGAGGGTATAGATGCAAAATTCTTCCTCTTCAATTCTGAAGGTGCCGGAAGTGAAAGAAGGTCTCTACAACATGCATAGATCTTCAATGAATGACTCACTGAATCCATCGTTTTTCATTCTTTACCCCTTGACTTCTACCCAGGCAAAAAGAAGAAGGACCCTCCTTACCTGGTGGCCTCGTGCTAAAGCCCCAAGAATGGCTTGTACGACAAGTTTATTCATCATGCTGGACCTTATCTCGCTGTGTCTTTCGTTCCCCATTCCTCACTCTCTCCATTTGGTTCCCACAGGCAAAAAGAAGAAGGGCCCTTCTTACTTGGGCGGTCTGGTGCTGGAGCCGAAGAAGGGGCTCTACGACAAGTTCATCCTTCTGCTGGACTTCAACTCGCTTTACCCGTCCATCATCCAAGAATACAACATATGCTTCACTACGGTGGAAAGAGACGCAGCCGAAGGGATCCCCAGCCTGCCGAAAGCGGACGCGCCAGGGGTGTTGCCACAGGTAAGGGAATGCCGGTTCTCAGCGTCTTGATTTGAGTCATTCCGTTCGACAGAACGACCCGAGGGAGAAATGAAGTGGTGCCAGAGCTATTGTCACAAGAGTCCAGTTGCTTGTAGTCGCAGGTTTGGCCGTCCTGGCATATGACAGGCGCTTGAAAAATTCGATTTGAAAGCTGCGGTGGTCTCGGTTAGTTTCTGGACAACTGTTTTTGTGATTCTGTTTCTCCCTATGCGAGATTTTATCACGCAATCTCCCAGAATCAAGAGTACATGTGTCAGGTGTCGCGTTCACAAACTTCGAGAAATCCTCAGTTCTCATGTAAGTAATCGAAGACTTAACCTGACCGCCCAATACATGGCTTTTCACCACTACTTCCCCGCAAGAGACGCGAAGCAACGATCGGCAAAAAGGGATACTATTCGAACGAACCCTGCTTCTGCCAGGTGTTGAAAGCGCTGGTGGAGCGGCGGCGGCAGGTGAAGAACATGCTGAAAAGCGAGCACAACCCGGTGAAACGTCAGCAGCACGACATCCGTCAGCAGGCGCTCAAGCTCACCGCCAACAGGTAATGCCACTCCCCAAAGCTGACGTCAGAACGTCTTGGTCAGTGACAAGGGTACTGGAGACAGCCTTGGCAGTCCGTTCTGACGATTAGCTGGCGCAGTAGAAGCGATTATTAAGGCACCGTTTGGAAAGAGTGGGGCAAAACAAGCAGCTTCTTAGCACCTAGGAGATTTCAGTGTCGAGTGTGTGCGAGAGGGTATGCGCGGCTGCCTGGATGACCAGCCTTCGTTCCAAGACTTAGTGGCCTCCCATTAAACGCAACCCGGAGCTCACTTAAGCTCCTGTCTTGTGAAGCATTTACTGTTGATTGCGGTGAGCAACAGTCAATCTGAACTTGAGGCAGAGGCCCAGCTTTACCGCACCTGCTGGACCGTATGTCCATCCGTAAGCTGAGCCCGAAGTTCAGCAATTCATTCAAATTGCTACGTTTTTTTGATCACCCATCGACACACCTGGCAAGTTACCCCTTCTATGCAGCAGGTCCGGCTGCCCTCGTTTTAGGCATCTCGCATCCGTCAAGGCTCAGCAAAATGGATTGAAATCTTGCTCCTGGTTATCCTTAACCACCAGTCAAACCACCCTGCTTTTGCAGCATGTACGGCTGCCTCGGCTTCAGCAACTCGCGCTTCTACGCCAAGCCCATCGCGGAGCTGGTGACGTCACAGGGGCGCGAGATTTTGCAGAGCACCGTCGATCTAGTTTCCAACCTGAACCTGGAGGTCATCTACGGCGACACGGACTCCATCATGATCAACACCGGGAGTGACGACATCGCTGACGTCAGGGCCAAGGGCGCCGCCGTCAAGAAAGAGGTCAGAGCGAAGCGACTTCTTTAGGGAATATCGGTTGCACATCCAGTTTTCTCCTTGTTCTGCAAGCAAAAAGTGGTGGAGAGACGCAGTGGAATAAAGGGAGAAATCTGGGATGGGGAAGACCGAACAACGGCCTCTGCTTATCGGTTGCTATTTTGGTGCCACAAGTGGTGTAAAGTCTGCGTCGTTGACAAAACCGGCCCTTCCGACGAGAGTCAATGTGATCAGTGGATCCAACTTTGGGGGCAACAAGGGTCACTTGCGTTGCTTACCTTAGTGTCGCGGAAGAAGGGAGAGCGCTGTGGAAAAACGTGGTCTGTTTCTGCTCTTGTCAGGTGAACAAACGGTACCGTCTGCTGGAGATCGAGATGGACGGCATCTTCAAGCGCATGCTGCTGCTCAAGAAGAAGAAATACGCCGCGCTCAAGATCGAGCCAGCCGGAGATGGCTCCCTGCGGGAGGTCAGCCAGACATCTCCATACTTCGTGCTTATGTGATCCCTCGCTCCTAAGTTCAGGCTTTTTCGTGCTTGGTTATTAAAAGTCGGGAGAGGTCAGCCAGGCTGCTCCATACACTGTGCTTAAGGACTCCTCGCTTATCTGTCCAGGCTGCTTTGTGCTTGCCAAATTTAAGCCCTGTGCCTCCTTTGAATTTATCCAAATGTTCCTCGACCAGATTCTTACCCTGCCTTTTCTGTGAGCCGTTTCGCGAATTTTCGTGCGCACATTACCCTCCAGATCAAGGAGGTTGAAGGCACTGGCAATTTTGCGCCATTATAAGCGAGGCATCCAGCTCGCCAAAACGAACGCGAGCACCGTCTGCTGCAGAACGCCGAACCTTTGAATGTCATTCGAAAACGGGCTCCTCGTATCAAGCTCAAAGCTGAGCACCGCTTTTTGCCCTCTTTTCCAGATTTTGGAGATGAAGGGGCTGGACATCGTGCGGCGTGACTGGAGCGTTCTGTCGAAAGACATCGGCAACTATTGCCTCGAGCAGATCCTGCGGGGGGACCTCTCCAAGGAAGACGTCGTCGAGGCGATCCACTCAGAGCTCCGCAAGGTGAGTTGGAATCCTAGGTTTCAAAGGGAACAAGGTTCTTTGCTTGGATGCAATAGCGTTTCCGTTTGCAGGTATCACACGATTGATGCGTAGGTGCATCAAAGAAATTTCAAGGCGCGATGGTGTTCGCAATTGCTTGTCGGTTCCAGAATAAGCAGAGAGTTGAAGCTACAAATATAAGGTAAGAAGCCTTGGAGGCAGTGCTCTTATCCGCTCTCACTAATCTGCCTCGCACTTTGAATCTTGAGTGTAAACCGTGTCCAAAGGGCTCTCACTGACTGCCCCTTGCAATCTCCGCAGCTATTTGTGCATCTGGCTTTTTAGACACCAGACTGTAACGAAAAGCATGGTTTATTAGCCTGACGTCATCTCCTGTGCTGCTGACGTCAGCTGCGTGAGGACATGGACGCGGGGCTGGTGCCGCTGGAGAAGTTCGTCATCACCAAGACGCTGACCAAGCCCCCGGAGGACTACCCCGACGCCAAAAGCCAGCCGCACGTGCAGGTGGGCTTCGACTTTGGCGGTTTTGTCTTTCCGAGGCTTTAACTCAATTTATGAAGTTCAAACTTCAGCTTGAGTCCCAAGATAAATTCCAACTCGCTTTTGCGGGTTCGGATACTTATGGGCTTCGGAGTTCAGGATACTCAAAGCCGCATGTGCAGGTGAACTTTAACCTTGGCGATTTTGCGGGTTGTGCTAACCAGGGTTGAGATATCTCTTCAGAGATCTTGAAGGTAGGATTTTTCCTTTTGGAAACTTCGTGTGAACTTTGGAGAAGGAGTTCGGGTAGAACCCCAACGGGCCTAGGGAGCCGGCGAAGCTTGGAGTAGCTCGGCTTTCGTGTAGCCAACGGAGACTGCCACGTGTCTCATGCGAACCCTCGTCGACCTGAAGCCTTTGGACCGACTCCGGACTGCGTCTCACTTGGAAGTCGCAACATTGTTTGGCTTACTTCGGACTTGCGGCGTCCTACAAGGATCCTATCCAGGTCCTGCCCATCCGGTGAGTTTTTTTCCTCATGACCGGCTTTCTAGCCTTCAAATCTGATCTCGCACGCAACAACATCCTAAACTATCAAACTTTACCTCCTTCCCCCAACCAGGTCGCTCTGCGCTTGCGCCAAGCCGGCAAGCGCAAGGCGTGCCAAATCGGCGCTATCGTTCCCCACATGTTTTGCCGAATCCTTGAAAGACTCTACCTCAAGATAGCCTCCTATTGCGCCTCCTTCCAAATTGCTTACTTCCCCTTACAGGTCGCTTTGCGGTTGCGCCAAGCCGGCAAGCGCGAGTCGTCACAAGTCGGTGCGACCGTTCCGTACATAATCTGCCGCGAGAAGGATTCGCCACCTCAGGCCGGTGCCGTGGCAGAGCGGGCGCGGCACATCGACGAGATTACGCCCGACGGCGCCTGGCAGCCAGACATCGACTACTACCTTTCGCAGCAGGTACGAGCTGCCGCTCCGTCCGCTTATTGCGCTCGTCCCGTTTGTTTTACCACACTAGCTATAAGTATTGACGGCGTCTGGCGGCCGAGCATTGATGCTTACAGCAGGAGGGTGTGCCGTTCCGTTCTGACCATCCGTCTGCTTTCGGGTCGTTCCGCCCCAAGAAAATTGAGTAGGCATTGCAACGTTTGCGGAGCTTCCGGAATTGGCCGTCGTAGGCGCTGCAGTAGAGTCAAATGACTAAAGTCGGATCCGGAGACGCCACATCCCATATCAAAAAGCTAGGCGGAAAGCCAAGACTCAGGTTGATTCGGGCAGATTGCTTTGCATTTCAGAAACTTACGGACAGTAATCGGTGCTCTGAACCAATGCAGGTTCATCCGGTGGTGTCTCGGCTGTGCGCACCCATCGAAGGCACCGACGCCGCGCGCATCGCTGACTGCCTGGGCATCGACGCCGCCAAGGTGGGCTGCCGATCTCGTCAAAACCATATTCAAATTTGTGCCGTTGTCGTCATGATCAGAATCCGAGAATCTGTGAGCAGCGAAGGGAAAGGGCTCGCTGGATGAAATAGCTCATCCCTATGTGCAGCAAGCGGGGGTCACCTGGTTTTAGGATGGTGGATGCATGATGGGACAGCAAATCGGAGGGAAAAGGCAGTGGGCAAGATTCGAAGCATAGGCCACGCAAAACGTGAACGCAAAACGGGGTGTTCAAAGACCCACTCTTTTCAAAGGGCCGGTCCGGTGACCGTTACTTGTTTTGACTATGATGCGCTGCTCGAAAATGATCGCTCGGAGCATATAAAGCCCGTAAGGAGTGAAGTTCCCTGCGGTACATCCGACCCTAAGTTGCCATCAAGTTAAAACCGAATTTCTCGACCCCAGTACCACCAGCAGGTGGCGTCTCCGCGTCCCTGCGCATCGACGCCCTGCTCGCGAGCGGCTCCACTCTCCCCGACAATTCCCCAAACCCGTAGAAACGGCATAACCCACAAAGCAAACCCGAATTCTGGTTGCTAGCCCGCTGGTTTGAAACTTCCTTGACCGCAGTACCACCAGCAGGCGGACACCCCCGCATCCGCGTGCAAAGGCGCGCTGCTTGCGAGCGGCTCCACTTTCTTCGTTTACCAACCCAAACTTCTTAAGCCCTCAACCGCCTGAGCTCTTCTCAAACCCTGAGCTACTAACCCCTGAGTGAGCTAAAACCCAAACTGCCTTGATTACAGTACCACCAGCAAGTCGCCACTCCCGCGTCCGCGCGCGAGGACGCGCTGCTCGCGAGCGGTTCCACGCTTGACGACGACGACCGCTACAAGAACTGCCTCCCCCTGCGCCTCACCTGCCCCGGCTGCCAGGCCGCCTTCCCTTTCGGGGGGGTCGCCTCCCTGCTAAACCCGCCCCCCCAGACCGCGCCCGCGAGCCCGCTTACGGTGAAAACCGAGCCGGGTTCTCCGGCGTCGGTTCTGAGGCCTCAGGGGAATGGGGCCCCTGCGAGCCCATCTAGTCCGTCGATGGGCAGCGGGGAGAAAGCTCAGCCGTTGGATGTGCTGGCGTGCCCAGAGTGCGGGAACCGGAGCGTGACGCCGGCTGTGTTGGCGAACCAGGTAGGTTTGCAGGTCACTTGTCAGGAGCATTTCCGAGGTGCTTAGATATTAGTGTGGCAAATATTTGAGATTGAAGAAGAAGCTACAGTTTGTTCGATGGAAAGCGTCCTGTAGAAGCGTTGTCTTGGAAACGAATGAGTGCTTGGCGCACTCTGGTTAGAACCGCTGTTTGATCTAGTGTAGTTAACATACTTCGGATTGTATTAGCCGCCGTCCATTCCGTCCCAAAGCGAACCGGATGCGGACGAAGAATCTGACCTGGATGCTCAAAAAGGCTGCTTTCGGCTCTCCTGATGCTGCGGTGTCGTCTGTTCGCCAGGATACATCACGGGTGCGTAGAAAAGAAGGCTTTTACTGGAACGAAGGAACGAAGGAACGAAGAGCGGAAAGATGAGCTGTCAGCGAAAAGCGGACCATAGCCAACCGTTACGCCTCGTCTCTCTCAACACGGAGGGTGATAAGTAACCGGTACTGAACCACCGACGAATCATTGTTGCCATTAAATCGGTCTCACCTCTTCCATCTTTTCCACTCCCCAGGTCAAGCTCCGCGCCGAGGAGCAGATCGGGCGCTACTACGAGGGCTGGCTACGCTGCGATGACGACATGTGTGACGTCAGGACGCGCAACGTGTGCGGACGAGTGCTGTCGGACGCGGAGCGAGGCAGCGTGTGTCCGAACTACCCGCGGTGCAACGGGAAGCTCACTCGGGAGGTGAGGAAATGGCCGGTATATGTACTAGTGACGTCATCCTCACGAGTAGCATATGGTGAAAGAGACGTGATTGTCGGGTCGCTATGATACGTTCCTCTGCAAATTAGAAACGGAGTGATTGCTTCTAGAGTGGCACTTTTGCCGGCCGCTTCGATCAGCGATGAGGGTGGGTGGATCACGACAGCGCCAAATGAGCTGTCTCGAGTTGCGAACCTTCTGGAACGTTGTTCGATCCAAAGTCTCGAGTAAGCACTGATAATCATTAGCGGTGGGGTCCGGCCGACCCGCAACCGTTGTAGCTTGGAGAGCGTTCGATTCAACCCCTCGCTAACCTTCAATTTCGATTTTCGCGGTACAAGAAGGCAGCATTATGCCGGCCAGATTGAGTCATATCAGCAAGCTTTCCAAGCTAAGCAGCACGTTCAACTTCGAACAAGCGCAGCACCACGAATTCTAAAAGAGCTCCCAGAATCCAATGGGGCTGCAGTGACCTTTTCCAAAGTTACTCTTACCTACGTTTCTCGCAGTACACGGAGGCGGACCTGTACAAGCAGCTGTCGCACTTCCATCGGCTGCTGGACGTCCAAAAGGCGCTGCTCAAGATCCCGGACGCGTCCGCGCGCGCGTTGGCGGAGAACCGGACGGCTCTGCTGCGATTATCTTTGGACCGCGCGTTGGGTAGCATAAGCAGGATCATGGACAGGTCCGCATACAAGTGGGTCAATATGGGGGAGCTCTTCTCTGCATTGAAAGTATGACGAGCTTATAAAGCATACGGCCGCTTCCGTAGCGAGCTGCAGGGTTCGTGCAGAGGACGTCCAATCGGTCCTTCAGGGCATCCACCCGGACGTGTCGTTTTTGCATCACCCGTATGAGATACGCGCGCCTCATCCTTTACAAGTATCTGGGTTGACTTAACAGCCGATGACCGGACGTTTATCGAGCTCGTGCAGTTGCTCTCCGAATTCAAAACGTGTGTCCCAGATCTTAGTATGCTGTGGTCGTGACGTGGGGTGGACGTTGCCTTCGGAACTCACTGACTCGTAATTCCTGGACGGTAGTGCAGTGCACTGAGGCTTCAATCGTGTGCACATGAAGGCTTTCTAACATACGATCGAGCACATCAAATGCATGGATCATTACGCGTCCATTCTAAGATGTTTACTGAGTTGTACCCGCTTTGGCGTGCATGGACACTGCTTCTTCAAGCACGTGCCTATCAAAGGCACGGTGGCGCGGTGTGCAGGAACGAGGGCATCTTGAATGCCAGCTATGTGGCGTGGACATGTTCCTAATGTATTGTACGGTAGCGAACCATCTTCCGACAAATCAGACCTAGCAAGTTGCAACCTAGCCTGAGCTCTGTCGGATCATGCCGCAATGCATTGCAATACCGCACCATTATGTTTCCTCTAGCTAGCTGCTAGCTTGTCTATCGTGCATTGCATGGGCGACAAGGGCCCACCTTACGGAAACGGTGGAGGCGGCTGAACAGCTCTACGTAAGGTCGCTTTGGCATGATCATTTCAAAGACGGACGTCGTACGTACTGACATACCGGACTCGACTGCGCAATAGTGTCTAGCGGGAGTCGGCCCGTACGTACTAACCTTGCATGCGATGAAATTCCTATTATATCCAAACATACAATGCTGGAATATAACAGTTTATTGCTGGTAACAATTAAGGTTCACCATGGTAGCTGCTTTGCCGGTCGTTAACGACGTTCGAGCTTCATACCAAGCTCAACCTTTCCAAAGTCTCTTTGAAGTGCCAGAAAGATCGTCAAAAGCTCGGTCCACTGTGAGGCGTCGATGATGTCCTCTCCGCCGAAAAGGTCCACCCTCAGCGTTAGCTTCTCCAAAGAAGGACTGCTCTTTAGCATGTACTCAAACTGCCTCCTCTGTTCGGGAAAATCATAAGAGGCCATCTTATCAACCACGAGCCACTCAATCAGCTTCTCCAGTTTTGGCCCTTCCGATAGATTCTGCGGCAGAGGGTGGAAAAGAATCCCAGGCCCTGTCCGCAACGTCGCAAGATGCTTGTTTGAGGAAGAAAGTCTTCCGACCAGAACGTCTAGCCGTGTTTGCAACCCCTCTTCAGGTGTTCCCCAGTAAAACTCTTCTACGAAGGTCAGATTGCGTGCATTTGGAGCTGTCTCAAGTATCTGCAAGCTCTCCAACCAGATGAGGTTCTCCAGATGCAAGTCGACGAGCTTAGGGCACCGGCACCTGATGACTATCTGAGGCATCTCTGGTAGTTCACACTCTTCTCTAGTGCATTTGACGAACTGAAGTTGTTCGCCGGAAACCAGATCAAAGCTCAGCTGTTCATCGAGTCGTAGTGTCAGCCTTTGTAAGTGCTCGAGCTTCAAAATCAGAGTGCGTTCACCGCCGTCGTTGCAAGAGCAGAGAAGCTTCAACTCCCGGAGATTTTGACAGCCAGCTATGATTGTGGTCAGAAGATCATAAGAGGTTCCCCGGCTGATGATCTTCAGCACCTGAAGGCTTGGAATAGACGCAGTAGAAGCCCTTGTGCTGATTGTTGCGTCTCCGTACTGCGCGTTGATCTCGAGCGTTTCCAGACATTTGCAGAAGGACAGGACGTTAAAGATAGTATGCAGATCGGGTCCTAAGGAATCCCTGTATTGAAACTCAAGGAGGTTTGCCTCTGCGGATCAAACGTAGCGGAAGAGCGCATCTGCAAGTTTTCTGCTCATGTTTCGAATCCCTTGAATCTCAACGTCGTCCCTTCGCAAATGATTCCAAGAGCTGCACTGCCGACAGTATTTTGGAGTTCCTTTAAACACTATGCTTCTCAATTGAGAAAATTTGCGATTCTGCAAGCTAAACTCCAGACTGGACATGAGAAACCCTCTTCCCGAACCACAGTTTAGGCAGCCTGTGTCAATCTTCAGACTGCTCACTTCGTTGCTTGCTCTCCGCATCAGCTTACAAACAGTTTCAATGCACAAAAGCTCCTTCAAATCAAATCCTCTACATAGAATGTTGCAGATAATATCAAGAGGCATAGATTCGAAAGGGGATGGTCTTCTGAAGGGGTCTCGGCCATCTTCTCTTACACGCTTTCCTTCCCTGCTCAGCAACAGCTGCTTCATTTCTGTCAGGTCCCAGAGACGTCACAAAATCCTGGAGTCTAGAACAGCCACATTCAAGTTCGTAAGATAGGGTCCAAAGATAGAGATCTTAAAATCCGCCTTCGTCATCTACCGCTAGCACCAAATTTCTCGTATCAAAGCAAGCAGAAGCCCCTGGAAGGGGCTGCCTGCTCTTCGTATAATCTTTCAGCACTTGCGCATCTGCATCTACACTTAAGCGCCGAGTCCGAAGCTACTCTTGTACTCTAGAATAAGGATTAGGTCAAGCGCGCCATGAAAGTGCTCAGCAGAAATGTGCGTGAATGCTGTGCCTCCCAAGGCTATGTAAGCATCGACGAATCGCTCGAACGATAAGTTGATGAAATCGTTGCACAGGCGGTCAGCATACTCGCTGCGGTGATGTCTCTTCAATTTGGGTTAAGTAAGCTCTAGGTATAGTAAGCTCCGAGCCTAACACAAAAAACCTAACCCTCAAAATCACCGGCTCCGCACCCGGACCCACCCTAACCCCCACCCTAACCCCACCCGTCCCAGGCTGCTTGGCTTACTTTACCTAAAGCTTACTTTACCTAAATTGAAATCATATGCTGCGGTGGCCCAAAGCTGACACAGCCGTTCCTTTTGTTAAGACTTCTTTATCAGAGCCAATTGAAGAGTGCAACTCGGCCTTGAATTTCGGCCTCTTGTTGTAATCAGAAGGCCGAGCCTTTTGCCTTGGAACTCAACGAAGGCGATTGACACCGTCCGATCTGTCACATTTGAGGAGTTGGACGGTGGCCCGGCGATAGCAAGGAAAGACCGTCCGCTTGTCTCCAGATTCAAATCAACAGCTTCTAAAAGTTTGCAAGGGCCGTCTGGCAAAGCTCCATGCACTGCCTAGCACGGGAGGGCTGATTCTTGATACAATTCAGGGTGGAAACCGATGTGGAGCAGGTACGGTAGTTCTGTGGGCTACATGTAGATATTTCAATTTCCCCTGATCCTAAGTTGACGCACTTGAAATTTGAATCCGACCAATTGGGCAGAGGTATCCGAACTCTTTTGACAGACCCGGAGCGGGAGGAACGAACGAGGGAGCCTTTGGAAAGATATGGTGTTCGATTAGTTTGTACCGGTATCTAGTCTAGCTGCGTCGGCTACGTGGTAGGGAGCTTTCTTCTGCACTCTTACCTGGCAGAAAAGTCGTCGCATTGAAATCATTCTAGCATCTTTCAGACGGCTCAGATCGGCCGATAACTTTCTGGGTTTCGTTGACGTCTTGATTGCAAGAGTTGGGACGAGTCACTTCTCTTCACAGCCGCGCTCCTTGTTGCAAGGTCACCGATTGATGCTTTTCGCTGATCTCAGCTCATCACAAACTGAAACCAGATGACGTGTTACATTCAATTTGTTGCTTCTTTAATTTGCGACTTCTGAACTCGCAACCTCAAAGTCTTCCCTCTACCGATTACTTTTATCGCTGCCCTATATATGAAACACTGCTTTTGAGTATCGGCCCCAACGTGGGGGTTCTCAACCATCGCCTGTGTACTAACGTCTAGGGTAATTTACTAACTCGCTACAAGGGGACTACAAAAACATTCCTCCCAAGACGTCCCACCTTCTCTGATCGAGACAAGGTCACCAGCTAGACTGAACTTTGTACAGGAGGACACTTTATTACGGTTCAAGTTAGGCGGGCCAAGTCCCGACTCTTTTATCTAGGTGTACTGTTGACTGTGCGCTTGAGGTGAGGCTCGTTGCCTTCTCTTTCCAGAATGACGACTCATCCTCTTGTTCGGGGCCCCCTATATTGCCCATGTATTATTCGTTCCTATCCTCGGACACGATTTGAGAGTCTACCCCCTTGGCAGTCCATTGCTGCGTCGAAACAACCGCCCCCCCTCTAAGCTGCATCCTTGTTCTTGTACGCTTTGGGCTTCACTACAGTCACGGGGCAGGGAGCATTCACGGTGCAGTAGTCGCTGACGCTCCCAATGAGATGCGCCCTGCAATTCGGAAAAACGGCTATGAGTCAGCTCTTCCTTTCAACCCGTTGACCACAGGTATCAAGGACCAATTCCCCCTCCGGCGACCAATGCAGTGGCCCGCAAAAATAAAGCTGGTCGTCCGAGGCAAGATTTGACGGTTAGCTGTGATTTGTATTTCCGTCTCAAGACTTGAAGGGAAAAGAGTCCCTTGAAATCAATGCCCTCTTGATGTCACAATCAGCGCTGCAGGGTGTGCGACTCTGGCCTCTCCAGGGTAAAGACGCCAAACAGTCTTTTCACTTGCTTAGATTACCAAAAGGAGGCTTACTTGGCCTCGATCTAAAAAAGTAGTATTACGTACAGCCAGAAAGCCCTGTCTCCGATACCTGGGGTCAGACTGAGACTCGCACAAAGACGGACACGGGCGCCCGAGATAGTAGGCGAAACGGAGTGGGGTCATCATCCTCATAATCCAGCAGTGGAGCTACGTTGATTGTCAAGGTCGGTGCAGAACGGAGGGAACAGATGCAGCATTTCAAGATACTCGCAGCAGAGTTCACAACGACAGGCACGAAGGGCAGAGATAAGGTGTAACCGGGGACAATGTCCGGCGCAAGTACGAACGTGCTGGTGGCAAATTCTACAGTCGGTCAGCTTCTGCCGTGCGATTCAACCATTTGAAAAACAAGGGCTTTCCATTTGGAGGATTCGAAGAGTCTCTCGTATCTTTCATTAGCAAGGAGTATCGGGAAGATTTTGAGCGAACCTTTTTGCCTCATTTAATAAAAAGTGCGAAAGCAGCAGCAGCAGCTTTGAAAAGGAAGGCACGGAGGCCAACTGTACGGTGCAATCGAGGAAACGACTTCATGACGTCATGACCCCGTTTGGTGGCATTCTTACTAAGCAAACAGCTTTCGACGAGCTTTTCGCCCTCTAGAACAAAAGTGGAGGGCTAAACGACAACCGTTTTTCATGTCTGCCCTTCTCTGAGCTTGCCTTCTTCCGCCAAAGGACCTCCTTCGAATTCTTTCGTCAAACCTGAGCTCTGTCATTTCTTCCTTGATCAGCAAGTAGAAGATCAGAGAATCAGAAAATCGAGTAAGCTCGGAGCCTTACTTTTTGAGCAGCGTGGCCCCCCTGCTGCCCATGATGAGCATGCTCGCGTTCATTTCCTCCGCGGCCGCCACGATCTCGGCACGTGCGTCTCCGTTCCTTACCATCCGATGCACCTCAATCGCCTGCAAAAGCATCGAAACGGTTCAACTCCGCTTGGTAAGCCTTCGCAGGGTGTCGCTGTCTTTCAGAAGGCTCAAGAGGACGACCCTGACAAGGCGTTAAGCTGGCTATGTGCTGATTACCCAATTGTTCCTCTCACTGCATTTCTGACCATGCCGCTAGCTCACTCTTTCAACTTCAGCACATCCACTGTCAAGCTCTCCGAGTTCTCAAACCTCTTCCAGACTTGCAGAGTCAAGACATGCAAGCTTTCATACTCTTACGCTGCCCCTAACGACGCTGCAAAAGTGGACACTGGCACCCAGAATTATGAGGCATTTGCACTTAGAGGCCAGGGAAACCAGGCGGTGAAAACAACCAGTCGACAAAAATGTAGTCAGCGAGTGCAGCGTAAAGACTCCAGACGAGAAATGAAACTCTGTTGGCAGACCGGCCGAATTTCGCTCCGCGTGCTTTTGCCCTATGTCAAGGCTCCCAACGGGAGGGGACTCGAAGCAAACCGACACCAACCGCAGCGACTTTTGGAACAACAGAAAGTTCGGTGTATTTGCTCACGACATCTATGGAAGGCTGCAAACGCTTATGCTTACCTCATTCTGGCGCAATTTGTTCTCGGCTTCGTCCAGGAAGTCTAGACCAGATTTGCCCTCTGCGGCACCCTCGGCAGCCTTCTTACTGGAGCTGGATCGAAGCAGCCCTGAGGAAGAGCAGAGGTTGGCAAATGTGTCATGTTTGCATCCGAAAGATGATGCGCCTTATTAGGAGATACTGTGAACTGGGGCAAGTGATCTTTCTGCATCTGAGAAGCTTCTGTGGTCTGCTCTCCAAAGCCCGAGGAAGCTTAGAGGTGCTCCTCAATCTACAAGTACTTCAACAACGGAAGCAAAAGAGAAGAAAACGACGACATGCAAAACAGCACGAAGGCGCTCATCCATTGGGCAGATACCTGATGGTATAGGGACCGTGAATGGCACATTCTTGATAATAGGACCTCTTTCTCTCAGCGCCACATTGTGAGTGAAATCATAGCTCTGAACAGAGCTGACTAAGCCCCTAATCCAGACCATTATGAGAAGAAGCACAACAATGTACAGAGTCTCTACTCCTGATCAATGCACCCTGTAAAGGAACCAATGAAAACAAAATTGCGAGAGCCAATACAAGCTGGCTAGTGAGGGGTTCTTGTGTAGAATGTTTGCGGGAAGAAGCAAAGGAAGACCCAACAAGTCTTTAAACGCTTTTTTACCTAGCAGCTGTCGACTTTCTCCTCTACCCAAGCAGGACTGCTCGTGCAAGCACCCAAAATAAGGACTGCTTTAAAAGAGCGGTTCTCGATCAGAGCAATGAGGGCCAACTTAGCGAGTAAATATATACAGGATGCAACAGGAGAGCTCACTAGGCGCACTGATCCTTCCTGGCGTTCTCATGTATTCCTATCAAGTTTCGAGGCTTACCCCCAGACTTTGCTACATACAGCAGCGTGACCTGATCATCTGGCCGGATAAGATTCTCCAGCGCCCAGTCAACGGCATATGCCGCTTCCTGAGTCCGAACAAAGACGTTCAGTATCTGGTTGAATAGTGGGGGTTGCAAAACATCTGGGCCTCAGGCAGACTACCGCGCTTCCTTACATGGGGGAACAAGATTTGCTGACGCCTGTTGTTTTTCCAAAGGAATTGGCAGGAGTGGAAAGCAGTTGAACTTTGCACCAGCTCTTTTACGAAAGCACTGAGAATTGCAGAGCTTCAGCCAGCAAACGACCTTTCTGTGGAAGTAACATGAGGGATCTCCATACTCTCCATGTGCCAGTCTGCGGTGTATTGCATAAGTTGCTAACCAAACATTACATGCTGACTCTCTCTGTTGTAGGTCTCCACAGATTTAGATCCTGATCCTCATTGATGTGTAAGAGATCATATCGAAACATCTGATTTGCCATCGAAACACCGGGGAATTGGTGGAGACAAGCACAGGCATGGTGAATAGGCGCAACCTCTGACGTTTCAGAGAGTGAACCTTACTAGGCGCTCTGCAGAGATGGGGGCTACAGACCTCCTGTTAATGCCAAGTTACACCGACATATATGACGCATCAAGTAAAAGGAGTGTGAGACTGAGAAGCTCTAGTCGGAATCCTTCTGAAGAGAGAGGGTTCTCATTTCGCGGCAGTGCAAGCTACCAATGCATGTTGCAGCAATCCATAGCACATTTGACAATAAATGCTTGACCTGAAACATTGTGTCAATGTTTTCATGCAGCTGAAATGGGAGCTGGAAAAAGTTGCAACTTGAAAAACTCTAAGAGCCAGGATCCCCTGCAGCTAGAAAGAAGCAAGTCGGCCAGCTGAAACCCTTGGCGGCCTGTTTGCAAGTCCTACCGGCCGGGGTCTTACCTTCGATTTATCGATTGCAAGGAGAACGCTCCGCTTGGCCATGTTGATAATGGATGCTTCAGGACGCCTCCTGAGCCTTATGAGAAGACGACTCCCCCTTCCTGATGTGCTTAATGCATCTCTGGTTTGGTCTCCCTCACTTGAGCTGTGCTCACTGCTCAAGCTTCCCAGTCCGGATAAAGAGTCCCAGAATCTCCCTGCTGACGTGGCTTCTGCCATGCATTCACGTGAAGCGGATGATCCCCCACTTCAATGGCGGTGTTCGACCTTCGCTGGGTATGAAAGCAAATCGGACCGTCGATGATTTGCCTAGAGCTGATTGCCGGTGGATCGTGGGCGCAGATCTCAAGGCGCGCACGGCCTTCCTGACCCGTCCGAGTCAATATCGGACCTGCCGCGGCTGCGCGTGCGGCCACCCGGGCGCGGCCGCGGCGCAGGGCTTGATGGCGCGCGGCGGCTGCATGGCAGCAGTGTGCAACAGTGGCCGCAGCCCGGCCCGCGTCGTCAATCTGGTACGTGCATGCTGTGCCACGATGGTAATGTTAAATGCATGCAGTGTTGAACGACAGGCTTTCCAAAAATTACGGCTTTCAGGCCGCACATCAGTCTCAAGTTTCAACATCACCGTCGCAGATTATGGCAAGCTGGCATTCATGTTCCTCATGTGAGCTTGCCCATTGCCCATGCAGGGAAAAGAGCTAGAGCTCGACATGTTAGCAGCCTCCTTAAATCCTGCTGCAACCTCATCTAAGAAGTCCTGCACACACACCGTCCGAGGATCCTTGCAATGAGCCGGGCGTATCTGATCGGGCGTTCTGAATGTCTCAGGCATATCTCAGTCGGAGTCGAAGAAAACTTAAGGGGCCATGTCGGATGGTGCACAGCCGCACCTGCGCTCAAGTCCCATCACATACCTATAATGTCCTGACTCAGTAAATGTCATATGATGTCCTGATGCCAAGATCGAATGATGACAAAGAAATTGCAGCGACTCTGAACGGAGAAGGTCTTGACTTCGCAACTTGCTGGACATCTGCTGCACGGACACCCGGTTCTAAGGTTAGCTACCAGCCAGTACTGTCAAGCACCACTATCAGCATCTCCCACCGGCCAAGTTATAGACTCACAACACCCGGAATCTGCTCCAGATACTCTACCGCAAAAACGCTTCTTGCAGAATAACTTATTCAACAATATACATGGCTTTCTCCAGCCCTGCCCTTCGTCGTTCGTTCACTCGCTACTATCCCGAATCCAGTATGCTTTTGCCACTGTGTGCTTTTGCCAATTGTTCGATACGTTGTCTGTCAGCCGTCTACCGCCTGAACAACCAGATATTGCATCCTATAGGAACGTCACCGCGTTGACCCTGCATCGCTCGTCCCGCCCGACGAAGGCCCCACCGCGTCCCAAGCCGCTCGCCCAAGCCCCTGTCCGATCGGCACACCGTCGGGCAAATCTCGCACTTCGTACTCATCCTCCTCTTCCCACCCCTTCTCTTTCGAGAATCCCACCCGGGGCGATGGCCGGAATCCGCTTTCCGTCCGGTCGTTCCGGTTCTGGAGGCTCACGCACCGCGCAAGCCGCCGCTGGATTTCGGGAAGCGATGGGCGGACCATCTCTTGGTCGGAGATGCAGTCCTGCGCCAGATCGCAGAGGCCCGAGAGGGAGAGCTCCGTGCAGTCGCCCGCGAGTTGTGGGTCGAGAAACGAGTCGTAATCCCGCACGCTCAGCAACGGAGGGACCTGCGAAAGCGAAGCTACGTTTGAGCGGCGGTAGCGATGTGCCCATTCACAGGGTTTTCAATCCCCCTACTTTGCATGCTTTCAACACTTATCCGCGTAGACGCTCAATGGGGTTCTAGACTGCAGCCTTTTGAAGTCCGAAGATCTGGCTAGGAGACACATCTGCGATTGATGCCGGCGCCCGTATGGACCAGTCAGTTCGCAGGCATTTTGAATTGCTGAAAGAACAAGCCAATATGAACAACACAAAAAACGATACACGTCATAACATTCCTCCTGAAAGCCTCCTATCGGCGGGGGCAAGTTGGACCCGGTCGCCGGCGGAGCCTGTCGTATTCAGATTCCTCCAGAGAATGCTTTGGAGCTTCCCGTTTTCGGGTGACAATATCACTCAAAGGACTGAAACCTGGACCCTTTGTGAACTTGGGGGATCCCTCACCCAGCTCGCGAGATTCCGCTTGTCCACAGGAACGCCCGCCAAAAAGAGCGGCCGGCCCGCCAGCAGCTCCAGCAAGATCATTCCGAAATTGTACACGTCGGCGTGAACAGATTTCGGTCCCCCGGAACACCCCCCATCAGAACCGCCTTGCCGGCGCCCCCCCGAAGGAGTACGCGGCAAGCTACGCCCGCTGCTCGACAGTGGGCTTTCCGGATCCGCACCCCCCTCGAGGTGGAAATCTGCCAGCCTTGGCCATAAGCTATCGTCCAGGATCACGGACGTGGACGCGAGCTCCTCGTATAAGCGCTCGGGGGAGGATTTGGAGTGTAAATAGGCGAGGGCGCCCACGATGCCCGAAGCGATCTCAAGGCGTGCGGCCCAGTCAGGGGACTGGGCGGGGGTGTTTACACTGTCGGGGCGGAGGTGGTCGCGGAGAGTGGTGGTGGCTGGGGCCGCGAAGATGAGGATGCGCTCCTTGTCGTCGTCGCAGCAGCCCGCGAGGGGGACCTGGAAAGAGGCGCCGAGAGGTCACAAAAGGGCCCGGACACGGGTAGCATTTTATCTTCGGCGTTAATAGCTTATCTGTTCTCTGGAATGGGAAAAACGTACTGGCGGGAACATCAGAAAGAAGCTGCGACGGCAAATTAAGTGACCGTCTACACAAAGGCTTTGCTCAGAAGAACGTCAAAAGCAAAGAGACATCAATGTTGTGAAGCCAAAACAATTGGAGAGGCGTCCGATATATATGTCACAAGAATGAAGTCCTGTAACAATTGAGGCGAGAGTCTCTAAGTGGAGAGATTTGCATCCTCCTGCATCAATTCTCACGCGGAGGCACCGGACAAAAGTGGGCCAAAAAGCTGGGTAACATACTGACCAGGTTCCGGTGGTTCAGACGGCCCAGCTCCTCGACCTCTTTCTCGAACTCGGACTTGGACTGGAAGCCCGCGATTGCGGGATCCCTCCGTTTGACGAGCAGTGGATCGCTCTCTGGCAGCGTGGCGAGGTATACTTTGTTGCCGGGACTGGTTCCGACCTGGGAAGAAAAGGAGGGAAATGCTTTCTATATATGGAAGAGGCACTCGGCAGACAAGCTTTTGTCTTGAGACAGGGGTCGTTTATAAGGAAGGGCGACTGAGAGTACCTGCATTCTTTGTAGGGTCCCGGAGACCCCGCGTCTGGAACTAGACCACGAAAAAAAGGGGGAAAGGGGGCACGCAAAACCAACCGCGAGAACCTATGATTTCAAAGGTGCAAGAATCCTCAGAACGCACGCAAACACATCCGGATATGCCCATACTTTGATGCGACGGAAGAACTTTGTGAAAGTTTGGAAGAGAGGAATCGAAGCAGTAGGAAAGCAGCAGGAAAGCACTCTAAAGGCTTGGATTCGAATACATTCATGCTTAACACCATGATAGCATCGCGTAGGATCTGCGAGAAGAAAGAGGAGCCCCGTACCTGCTGTGAATCTGCAAAGCCGTGCGTTCCTCGCATGAGCATCGGCAGCGGATAGATCCGAGCGCCCCCGTAGCCCCGGGTCACCGGCCTCGTGTCCGGAAACGGCTGCCACGTGTCTGCAAGGTAGCGCACGGGACCAATGTGAATACCCCTCTAGGACAGAGAGATGAAAGGGAAATGAAGGGGTGGTATGACAAGCATCTCGCACAGTTTCTTCCGCACTGGTCGAGGGTCTGCAGGAGATGCGCTGCGGGCAGCATGGAAACGTCGTATAGGAAGTGCCTCCGGATACGTGACCCCGGTAGGATTTACCCGCACATGGCCTCTTAAAACTCATGTGTAGACATGCTAATGCCGGAACCCTTCGTAAGAATATGCAGGCCGTACGCTGGAGCGTTTGCAGATGCGAAGCTGAGCCGGACGGGCTTGAGGCATATGCGCCGTCGCAAGCTGTGTGGAACCACATCCCCTGCTAGTGCGCCGAAAGGAACTGTACCGAAGGTTTCCGAGCTCGCGCACCCTAACCCAAAAATCCTCCCGATCACGCAAACCTCAAGGCGTACAGTCAATATAGATCCCAAGGTGTACAAAGAGAAGAGCGTTGGCGGTTGCTCACCTTTTGTCGTCGTGGGCAAGTAGGCCGCGGACTCCGCGCCTGCGCGGCGCCGCCTTCTGAGCGCCAGAAGCGCAAGCAGAGCCGCCACAATGACACCGGCCGCCAACGCCACTCCTACCGAAGACCCGACGATGACGCCGGTGTTGGAGCCCCCGCCGTCTGGACACAACGACAACAATTAAAACATTTTATTAGCCGGTTCGAGTTCAACAAAGCATCTCCTTACCGGTATGCTGTAAGGCAACGCTCTTAGCAAGTATGTAAGAAACTTGACATTAACCGCCCTTCCGCATCCTCTGCACCTTCACAACTTCAAACTTGACTTGGCACACTGCCCCAGCGCATAAAACGACCCGAAGCCAAGATATGTCACCCAGGTTGAACCCTCACCTTTGCCAGCTGTCGAGCTCTGGTTCGCCGACTGCGGGGTAGCAACCACCGAGTTAACCGTCGGGTTTAACGTAACCGCGGGTTTAGGCGTCGCCGTCACTATCGGGGGAGTGGCTGCAGGAATGCTGACAGCCGGCGGCTGAGGAGCGGGCGCTGGTGACGTGGAACTTTCGGGCGCTGGTGACGTGGCAACCTCTGGTGGCGGCGGCGGCGGGGGTTTTGGAACGGGGGCAGGAGCTGGGGCGAGGCTGGCTGGGAGGCGCAGGTTGGAGTTGCCAGAGAAACTGCGGCAGGTTTCTTCTTCTTTAATCAAGGTCTTTAAAGGTTTCAGTTTGACCTGGCTGTAACCCAAAATGTTGCTTACACAACAAGCTACGGCTGTCAGTGGTTTGCGGAAAGCGTTGATAGTCAATTAAAGCCAAAGAAACTGCAGCAGGGGCGACGGGAAAGAAGTCTCAAATTCAGGTTGAGCTGAGCCATGTTAGATACCAAACTGAGACCACAGGGACGTACTGAATCGAACCAAAAGCCTAGAAGTAGATTTACCCGTTTGGTTCCACTCCATCTAAGAAACAAGCAGCTCGGATGGGCTATGATTAAATCGGAAGGTAAGGTAGAGAATTTCATCAGATTTGTTGCAACTCCACCCAAAGCCCAAGGAAAGAACCGAAGTGTACACCCCAAGCTATTCCCACCCGTCACCCGGGCACGAAGATTGCTCAACCTGGCTGTGTCTCGACTTGAAAAGAAGCGGTGAACTTAATGACCACCATATGATCGAACACCAGAGTTGCAGAACTGCACTCTCCAATCCGGGCTGAGATTCACGAGCGAGTTTTGTGGTAAGATACTTTTTCCATCCAAGCACGCCCCGGACGAACCTCTGGCTGTCTCCTTTGTCAAATAGTGTTTGGGGGGGCTGAGGAAGAAAGGTAGCGTAGCCAGTGCCTCAGCAAACAAAAAGGTTCGAAAACAGAGGCTTCAGTGCTAAATTATCTGGAGTCCTTATAAGACCAACCTTGAGTTCAGGATAATGTGCTGGAGACTGACCAGTAATCAAACTCTAAAAGAAGTAGAATAAGTCAAGACGACAATGAGGTCACCGCACTGGGACGGGTCTGGTTAGGTTGGTGGTTAGGGGAGGCAGGGGTGCGGAGAAGGTATCTTTTTTGGGTTAAGGTTTTCAGTGGTCGGAGCTTATTGTTATCCTTCTTGAGTTCCATAGACCAGTGGCCTTCAGACTTCGGAAATTGAGTCACAGGCAAATCGACAAAGACAAACTTACAATCTTAAAGAGCGCCAGGCGCAGCGAATGACAGTGGTGACGCACAGCAGCCAGGCACCGAGAGAGCGAGCGTTTGCGCTGCGACTTACCGGAGGGTGAGACCGTCGGACACATAAGCCCGTGGGATCGTCCCGCTTAGTCGGTTATTTTCCACGTTCCTGCGCATAGAACAGGACGGCTCGAAACTAGATCGAGACAAAGCAAAGGAGGGAGTCGTCGCAATGTCTGGGGGAGCGCTTTCCCCAATGACTGCTGGAGGAGATGTCAGTGTTTGGGCGACATGCAGGTGGTGTTCTGCTCTTCGGAGTCGCCCATTAGGTGAAGCTAGCCGGACTCTGTGATGCCGATATGGCGCCTGAATGTAGGGGCCATACTACCTTCAGACGAACTATTGTGTGTCATTCAAACCGGGTCGAAGGTTCAATTCACATGAAGCAATGGACATATATGCTTTACGAAAACCGGGTCGAACTCGCTCGAAGTGCCAATTCACAGGGAGGCAAAAAAGGACGGCGAAGGGGCTTACAGGAGAGTTAGGCTCGAAGAGACGTTGACGTTTGGGAGGGTTCCGTTGATGGAGTTTGTGGATAAGTCCCTGCACACAAACGGCAACGTCACTGTTCTGCTTCGTCCACTGTGCAATTGGATTCACTTTCTGACCCGTCACGCCTGACGTCATGCTTCCGGTGCTAACGCCCAGATGTCGCGTGACGGGTAAAAAAGACAACATTTGGTTTTTTAAGGAACCAAAAGGCCGTCGAGTGGAAGCCGCTGACGTTCAAACCCGCGTCGCGATTTTAGAGGGCAGCGTTCGGTGTACAATCTTCCCACCTTCCGCGTTCCCGAACGGCATAACGGCGCGATTCCGAGCGAATTAGTCGAAACCCGACGATTTTAAAAGATTCGCGTCGCAAGCGAGGGCCCCGGCGCATAGTATCTCGACAACCACCTTTGTTGGGACGCAGCGACACGCAACTCACAGTATTCGAACAGCTGGCAGTGTGACTAGCGGTGCGAAAAACGCTCCGTGCAGATCGTTACTGGACACATTCAGCGACTGCAGCTTCGTCAGGCTGGCAAACGACGTCGGGATGCTCTGGTTGAAGTTGTTGGAGCTCAACACGCTGCGAAAGGGAAGCGGATGTCGTCAGCAAAAGCGCTTGGTAAACATGTTCTCGTGCAGTCTGTTCTCTAGAACGACGTTGGGATGCTCTGGTTAATCTTGTTTCCGTGTATCATCTTCCTCTAGAACGGCGTCGAGACGCTCTGGTTGGTTTATCACAGTGTTCTACGGCTGCGAGAGCGGAATCCGTCAACGAAGCGCTTCCGAAGAATCTTCCCAAGCATATTCCTTTTTAGGTGCTCAGTGAAGTTGGGAGCCAATGTGGCGCGGAGAATCTATGGCTCTTAAAGGTGGACTTGCCGTATCTCGGGCACGAAGCAGATAATGGTTTAATCTACGGCTAAGGTATGCGCCTTCCGCTTCCGCTTATGATATTCTTACCCGAGTTTTTGGACAGCTGACAGGAAGATCGGATAAGCAAGCTATCCTCGAGCTCAACCCTGCTTTGTGCTACACAACTCTGTGAAACATTCTTGGAACTGCTTCGAAGGCGTCTAGTCAACGAGAAGATGGATGATTACAGGTCTATATTACAGACTCGAGACACGGCCCCTGTGACGATTTTCGTCATCTCCTGTCGTCTTTTCGAAGCGATCAGAAATGCACCTTGGGTCTGAAAGCACCGCTAGGGAGACTGTCTCTGACGGGGGGGTGCTCCGTTTGAAGTGCTGAATTCCAACAGTACAGAATGTCATAGTTTCTGGGGCTCTGAAACCCTAACCCCTGAAAGCCGGAAACCTGGAGCAAAAGAATTCGCAACAGAGAACGGCGGGAAATTTTGAGGCTCACATCGCTATAAGATTGGAGGCGTTTCCGAGGCTAGGCGGAATGCGGCCCCCAAATCGGTTCTGAGAAAGGTCCCTGCATCGGCACGAAAGTGAGATGACATCTTTGTTGTGATTCCAGAACTGCCTCCAACCCAGACCAGGGAGAGCTTCAGCAGTAAGGAATACGCAAAGCACCAAACGGATGAGCAGAAGCAGAATAAGGGCGTTGATATCTTGCCACATTTCAACATAAAACACGCTGATCCGACTTTCCCACCTCAGAACTAAGCTTTCACGGATTCCAGAGTGTTGAAGAGCAGCGGTTCACATTACCGCAGACTGGCTGCTGAACGTGTGTTCAGGGATGTTTCTTGACCAACCTCCGAGCTTTCAATCATGGGGCGGACCTCAAAAGCCTCAAAGCCTAATGATTCTAGGACATGTCGATCCTGCGACCTCAAGCGGCTACGGAAAGGCAAGACAACTTACAGAAATCGCAGGTTGGTCATGTTTCCAAACATGTCGGGAACCACGCCGCCAAGCCGATTGTAGTTGAGAACTAGAGTGGTGAGCTCTGTGAGTGCTGCAATGGACGGCGACACCGTGCCGTCCAGGGTCTGGTTATCAAGAACCCTGCAGAAAAAGCGTTGCTGACGTCAGCAAGCTGGCAGTGATGACAGAGAGTCGAGAGTGATGGCAGCAAAGTCTTCTCAGCGGTATAAAGTCTGGGGGATCAGCTTAGTCGTGAGTGAGGTAGTTGTAACGGCAGAGCGACAAGGGGTCCCCCAAAGCGAGCCTGCGAGTGGACAATTTCGAAAAATCTGAATGTAGGGTGTCATATACGAAAGTGAAGCTCGGGGTCTTCTCTTCAAGTATACCGATCGACACTTTCAAAGGGTGGAAGATTATGCTATGGTTTGGCAGCAACTATAACCATCTTCAATCCCGTATGTAGCGTCATCTCAACGCACATTAAGATGGTCTGTGACTAATGCAGACTCAAGAGGAGGCTGCACCAAGTACAGCACAATGACGAGATTCGCAAGGTAGGTCCTGGGATTGGACTTAAAGCAGAGAGTACGGTACTTCCTCATAATTGGTCACGACATAGAAGGGCTGGGGATAGGGAAAACTCTGGTTGATGCAGACCCTGAGATTCGGTGCAAGAGAGGGAAGACTCACAGGCTGGTGACTCGGTCTCTTGTGCACCTCACTCCCAACCACGTTGTATTGCAAGGATCCGTGTCAGGATCCCAAGAAACAAAAGCTCTCGACGGTCCTCCCATCGCATCCTTCACCTCTAAGAGAGCGTCCACTGCAGATGAGAGAGACCACGCTTTATAGCTTGCTCTATTTGTGTAATCACTCTCCGCATTGTTTCGGGAACGAAGGTGGAAACAACTGATGCAAGGTCCCAAGACCAGTCCCCAAGCTCAATGTCCGGATCTGGTCAAATAGAGCGATACGGGGAGAACTCTGCACTGGAAGTCATCTCCGCCAGCTCTGGTTTGCTTAAAAGAAACAGCTTGGGGTTACTTTGAGCACATGTTTAAGCCTCAAACATTGATCCAGTCAATGCAAGCACTTGACTGCAAAATTAAGTATGTCAAAGTGCAAAAGTTGAGACTGCAACAACTTTCTGCACTCGGGGTTGAACTCCTGTAAGAAACTCAGAGGGGAGCGCTGTTCTACTAAGGAATTTGTAGAAGCACTGGCTTGAGAGGGAGTGCACCTTTAAATAAGCCACTTCTTTCTTGCCCCTGTGAGAACAAGGCTGGTTTTGCCAGACTTGGTTTTCTGAATCTCCCTGATCGTCTTAGTAGAGACCTTACAGCTGTCCTGAGCGGTCCATTGCAGCCTGAGTCAATTGGGGGCGAATGATAGAAAACTGGCGCGAGGGGAAGCGCCCCAAAAGTCACGGCTTTCCAGGCCACACAATAGGATTGCAGCTGCCATTAAATATAGTAAGGCAATTGGGTATTCTCACGACATGTTGCACTCAAAAGAGCACCACTTTTGGTACATGATAGAGTACGCTTTCAACTCTAAATCGAGCACTTGATCAACTTGCGATGTACACTTTGCTAGGATGAATGCTCACCATCAGAGGAGTACCCCTGGACGCACATCCAGGTGTTGCAGACTGCAATCGAGATGAGCAAAGCCTTCCGTGAAGCTCGCACCTCCATCGTTGATTTGCTAGCCATCGATGGTGTGACTCAACAAGACAGGACCAGACTTAAATTAGATCTATACCTGATAGAGAGATTCTGCGCTCGGATAATGCACCACCATAGACCGTGACCTGCTGTTTGCAATGTAGGTGAGAGGAACCGTAAGTTCGCTCTTGGAGTCACTCGCCGTGCACTTTCCTCCAGAATCGAAAGACACGACTACACTCAATGATGACACTTGGGTGACTTGAGAAGGCTTCCAATCTCGATCTAGGGGCGACCAGCAGCCGGAAACTCAACCTCCAAGTTTAATATCCTCCTGGTAGAAGTGCTCAAATGCTGGAAAAACCTCTTGGAGGGTCCAGCTCACCCCACCTTGACAAAGGTCAGCTTTTGATATCAGTGTCAGATGGCGTAAGACAGCATTTCCTTTTGCAGCGATGCAGGTGACATTGTTAGAGCTCAGCTCTACCTACATGGAATGTGGCTACCCCTAAGCTGAGTTCGTCAGAAAAAGCTGATGATATGGGGTTCCCAGGGCACATTGATGCTCCTATGAAGCAGCTGCAGGCGGCCAGCCTGCTGCAGGCTACCTAGCCAGCTTGGCGCCCTTCCTTTATCTAGAATTTTTTGCGCAGCCCATAAAGTTTTGGGGAAGAAGCCTGAGCGCCCGGCGGCGGGCCGTCCCCTGGCTCCCTGACTCTGATGAGCGTCATATTGACGCCATTGCTCTCGTCACTGTAAGATGCTCGCTGACGTGGCGAATACTGTTTGAGAAAACCTTCTGTCCATCCCCACTATTTGTGCAGGGTTATCGGGGCAATTCTTTTTCGGTTTGTTTGACCCAGAATACTCAGCTGACGTCAGGTCAGGCAGGACGAGTTGACAGTTCCGTACATCTCGGGGAAATGACGTGCATGATGCAGATTGACTTTCGGTCGAAGACAGCCACATATTCCGGTGTGACGAGGTGTATTTGTGACCGGTCGGCGTTCTTCAGTTAGAGCAATCAGTTCTACTGTAACTTAACTAAGCCGCACGAGACCACTCAGGTATCGCGCGCGCTTCTAGAATCTAACCTGCTTGTAACCGCAATCCTTGCTAACCAAGTGTGGCACGAATTTTCCTCGGGCGCGTGTCAAAGTTTCCACCGAAATCCAGGCTTCTCTCCCGGTCCGACTAGAAAGTGCACCATGTGCAGAGACTGGCCTCTGGTAGAGCCAGCTGTGCCGAGTTCAATGCCAACAATCGTCAAGTTGTTGCACTTGCGCAGCTCAGGAGCGCCTGCATAGGCTGCTAGAGGTGCCTGGAGAAGGGAAAGTGGACAATACCATAAGCGCGCAAGCACTTCTACTGTGCTCTTTTGAGGGGTCTGTCAGCAATACAGAATGGAAGACTGTTGCGTGATCTGTGCTGAGCCCCTGGAGTGGATTGCATACGGTGCTTGCGACCACAAGGATGTCTGTTCATCGTGCATTGCCCGCTTGCGCTTTGTCCTTAAGGACAACAAGTGCTGCATCTGCAAGCAGGACTGCCCAGCAGTCTTTGTCACAAAGGTAAGCGCAAAGATCATGGCTCAGTCTGATCAGCGCATGCAGAGTACCTAAAGGTTTGGTATGTGAGCATGGCATGCGCTTTGCTTGGTTCCAGCTTGAGAGCCAAGGATAGGTCATCCTGTTCTAGGGTTCTGTGCCCAGCCTTCAAGCGATGATATGCTCTGAGACCCAAATTTTTTGAAGGATCTCTCAGTTTGATTCCCTTGTGGCACCATTACCAGATCTGAAGGGGTATCCGCTGCCGCTCAATCTGCGAAAGGGCATGTGGCTCTAGAACGATGCATGCACTAGTCAACGATTGTTCGTGTCCTCTTTTAGATTGTCCACCAAAACAACGAGGATCATACTTCTGCAGGCTCTGGGCGAATACACCGCCTCAGTCGACTTTGCCGCCCTTCCTGCGCGGGACAAGAGCAAGGGCGGAGACCTTTGGTACGACGATCTCCTCAACGCTTACTTTGATGATCAAGACCACTTCAAGACAATCAAGGCGCTCTGCCGGCTATCATGTAGCGTATGCGTCCAAGCAGGAGAGACGGGGAAGCCCCTGCCCCGGGGTTCCGTGCCACCGGATACTGTTTTTAGGGACATTGAGCGGCTGAAGCAGCATCTGTCTGGGATCCACAAGCTGGTGATGTGCGAGCTGTGTCTGGAAGGAAGAAAGGTGAGGATTTCGCTTGCACTTTGCAAACCCTAAAACATACAACTTACTGAGGTCCAGCAGAAAAGCTGGCAAAGAAGGGCAGGCGCATTTGCTGCTGGTCGCGCGGCCTTGTTGGTGCTTCATATGTGTAGCATTCAGGAAGCTGTGTTTAACGCGCAGAACGGACATCTGGATTCTTGTTTGACGCAGTGGTATGATGCTCTGTGTCTGATATGGTCAGAAACTCAATATCTGCAATGCTGCAAAGTACAATGGAGCTTCTTTCTCCCTCCCAAGGTGTCCCTAAAGTTTCCATAGAGGCTGTTTTGTGGAGTGGCGGACAAGAAGAGCTGCTTTCACATCGTGGTTTGAAGGCCGTGTGGTTGATCAGTTGTAATGGCGATTGCAGTATATACACATTGGAATGTGACTTGTTATGTGCGACCTGTCTTCATACTTACGTTGCAGGCTTATCCTTATTGACGCAGCTTGTTTGTTATCAACCTGGTGATTTGTTGTCGCTATCTTAGTAGGATTTTGCTCCTGATTGCATTGACGCATGTTGGGAAAAGTTGCCCTCTCACAAAAAGTTACTGAGTGTCTGAACTTATAGAAGTAACCTCTCATCTGCTTAATTCGTGTGCCAGGTGTTCCTCAGTGAACAGCACCTGTACACGCGCCAGCAACTAGAGCGGCACCAAGTCCGAGCGTGCCCAGAGGTCGATGGAAATGCCGAGGAGCGGGGGGGTTTCCAGGGGCATCCGCTCTGCAAGTTTTGCAACCGGAGGCTGTATGGAGAAGCGGAGCTGTATCAGCATATGAATGGGGAGCATTACACGTGCCACCTCTGTCAAAGGTAGGGCTACGCTTTGGAGTGCACTGCTGTTCCCGGGTTTGAAAGGTGCAGTTATTCTGGGTAGGGGGATGGTCAGTTTTTGGATGCGTTGGATTGGTGGTGGTGATAGAAGCAATGGATCTGCAATTGAGGGAGAGGCCATTACTACGTTCATGACCCTCAGAAGCAACGCCGAAACGTTTTGGAAGGATACGTCTGATGCGGACTTGCTCGACCTTTCCTAGGCATGGAGAAGAAACCAAAGTTAGATTGCATTAGAGCAATAACTCATTTGGCTTGTGTTGCAATTGCCCGCGGAAAGGGGACCGTTTGTTTCCTTCTCCTTCTGACTCAATAGGAGCATGTATTGAAAAACGTCACTTCCATTCTTTAATGCTTCACCGCTGTGTCCGCCAGGTGTAGGACAGGTGTCGTTCCTCCGTTTGGCGTGGACCTTAACGATGATTACAGTAGAAAAAGAGTGGAAGTTTCTCTTGTTGTTGCTCTTTGACTTGGATGCCCAGCATCTATGCTCATGCTGTCTACTACTCTTCACAGGGCGCGACCGGATGTGTTTGAGTACTACAGGGACTATCCAGATCTAGAGGTGAGGGCTGGCCTTTAGAAGGTGTTCATGAAAGGTCTTGTCGTGAAAGCCACGCAGGGCTTTAACTTAACATTGGCTTGCAAAGGGTTGCAATGATGTGAATGCACGGCCAGGAGGGGCTGACTGTGCTGTTTGACTCAGTGGCGCTGGTCAGTATCAATCGTTCAGACCTGTTGATGCATGAGGCAGTCAATTACAGTTTTTTAAAACCTCCGCCAATGTGGTCGCCTGCAAATAAGTTGGGCTCTACTTCAGGATTGCAGGATGCCAACTCTCATCGGTTACTATTTACCTCTTTTACTTATTTACCTCTTATCGTTTTCTCAGCTGCTTGCCTGCCTAGCCTCAAACATCTTCCCTGATTCTTGCATGTGCAGAACCACTTTCGAATAACACACTCCCTGTGCGAGCACCCCGACTGCCTACAGAAGAAGTTCGTAGTCTTTGTTTCCGAGAGCGAATTGAAGGTGAGGGACACATTCCGGTCTTGGACCTTTCATTTCATCTAAGTGGAAGAAGTAGTTGCGTTGGTAAGGAAAACCAAATATGAGGTCAAAAGATGGATCTATTGAGTGAATGTTAAGGCGTTTGGGTATGGCAGCTGTTGACCGTATGATGGAGTAAAAGCTAGCTTTGGGTCTGGCAGCTGTTGACCGCATGATGGAGTAACAGCTAGCTGGCGATGCGTTTTGTGAAGAACGTTTTGTGTGAATATTGCTGCCCTTTGTCAAGGGGACGCAAGAATCAGTCGCCTTTCTGCTTTGCAGCGGCATAATGCTCAGGCCCATGGGGGAAACATGTCTCGGTCCCAGCGGCGAGAAGCGCTGCAAATACCGATCAACATACAGTACACCCGGCCAGGGCGGGGGGAGTCGGAGAGGGAGCCTGGTGAGCTTTTGCCGTTCTTTCCAAGTGTTCAAAGCACTTTTCATCCGCATGGTAGCTTGTTGGAGACAAACATCTCTAAGAATTTTGGTGCTTTTTAGGCATTCGCTCGAGTCGAATGTTGCCCTTTGTTAACACAAAGAAAGGGTCGTGACTGCATTCTCAGAAGTTTGATCTTTGGGTCGTTGAAGGAAGTGGTCGCGACATGTTTAGGACCGATTTTTGTCTGTTTCACACCTGTTGTCGGGGAAGCAAGATTGGTACCCCTTCCGTTTTTAGGAATAGTGGAAAGGAATTTACGACTTTTTCCGAATGTAACACCTTAAGGTTCTTGCAAACGCTCCTCGAATGCAACACCTGAAAGTTCTTGCAAACGCTCCTTCGCAGGTCGGCAGCGCGGCCGCCTCCCTCCTGAGAATCGGGGCAACGTGCGAGTCCTCGAAGCGGCGCAAGAACAAGCGGCGATTCGAAACAGCCAGGAGACCAACATGATCGAAGTAGCCACCCGTGAATCAGTCGCCTTGGCTGAGTCCCAAATGCAGAACATGCGCATCGAGCGGAGCCCAAGTGGGCGGGAGCAATTCCCAGGCCTTGCCCGGGGGGGCGCGGCGCAGACGGCTGCTCTGAACGTGGGGAGGTGGGGGGGTTTGCACCCCACAGCGACAAACGACCCGGAGTATTTTCCACCTCTTCCAGGGGCGTCGAGACACCAAAGAAAAAAGCAGGCGGCGCAGAGGCGGATGACCGAGGTTTTGGGGGGGGCGGGGAGCATTCAGGTGTTGCACAGCGCCAGCGGGGGGGGCGGGCAGCAGGCGAACTACCCCCCCCTAGGAGGAGCGGTCCCAAGCGCTGTGCCAGCTGCCCCCGCAGGGGACCGAGAAGCGATCAAGGCGGCGAACCGGCAGCTGGTTGAGAAGATCAAATCCGGGTTAGGGGGTAACCAGATTCTGTTCACCGAGTTCAAGCAGCGGTCGGCGCAGTGGCAGGCAGGGACGCTTTCCACCGGTCAGTACTACCGGTACATTGTCGGGGTTGGGTTAGACGAGATTGTGCCCCAGTTAGCGCAAACCTGCCCCGACCCCCAGAAAGCGAAGGAGCTGCAGAGTCTGCAGGCGGCGGCCGAGGGGGAGCGCCCCCCGTCGCGACCCGGCAGTGCGGAGAATGGGCGGGGGAAGAAGACGGTGGCTGACGTGGCTGCGTCGGATCCGTCGATCAAGGCCCGGGCAAGACAAGCGGCCGCAGATGGATTCTGGCCAGCTGCAACTGGGGGTGTGAATTACTCGCGGGGAGTAGGGGCCAGTCCTTCGGGGGCTGCGTCGCCTTCCCAGGGGGCGCTTCCGAAGCCGTACGCACCCCCCGGTTTCGGGAGAGGTTCTGGGGGAGCAGGGCAGAGCGGCATCCTGGGGCCGGGCGCACCGTCGACATCAGCAGAAAACGGAACGGTATCGAAGCGAGATGGGGCAGAAGCTTCTCTCGCCGGAGGCCCGTTTGCGGGTGGCGCTTTTGGCCGAGCAGTTTCGGCGGATGACCTGGCTTCGGTTGCAGGGCCGTCACGGACGTCATCCGTGCCTAGGGTGAGCTCAGCCGGGAGCATCGGGGGTTCGGTGGACACGTCACACCTGAGAGACGCTCTGCCGGGTGTTCCGCAGACGTGGGAAGACGACGGGTGGAGCTGCAGCGTGTGTACGTTGCGGAATAAGGCGGGGGATACGAGATGCATCGCGTGCGGGGCGTTTTGGCTCGCGGACAAAAAGGACGAAGACGGCGCGGCGAAAGCGGACGAGGGGAAGCAGAAGAAGAAAAAGACGGGCAAGTTTCAGAGGTTAAGGTTAGGCGACGGGTCGATAGCTGATTGGGCGGAGTCGGCCGCGAACAAGGGGGCGGGGCCGAGCGCTTGGGGAGGGGGGTAGGGCGGGGGAGCGCAGTTGGGCCGCAGCCACAGCCAGACCCGGGGCGGAAAGCGTTTGGGCGGGGAGCGTGGGGGCGGGGGGTGGGAAACGGATCATCGAGGATGTCGAGCAGCAAAATGCAGCATTGGCGGCGCACTTAAGGCGGTAGCACGAGGAACTATTGGGGCTGCTCGCAACATTGAAAGACGACCTCGGTATTTATCGGATTCTCTGATCAGCATACAAATGCGGCCCGCCCATTGTTTCTGAAATCGTACTTATGCGCCTATGCATGGCGTCTCGCCAAAGAGAAAGTTCACGGTAGCCGAAGCTGTTCAGGCACTCATCATGAAGCATGATCCGCGGCCGTACACATGACATCACATGATAATAGATAAAAAGGCACGCACTATGTCATCTTTACGATTGAGTTCCTTGCAATTCCCGTTGAATGAGGACACACCATCATCAACGTTAACCTGATGCCATGATGCATGATGAGCATATATCATATACATACCTTCAGCTAGGAATACAAAAATCCGGGGTCCAATCCTGTTGTAGCATATAATTGGGACCGCGCACTTCACCACGCGCGCCCGCGGGGAGGACGCGCTGGCGCTGATCGACGAGATGCAGCAGCGGGGGATCCCCCCGAACGTGTACACGTATATATTTAGGTAGCATATGCATGCCACTATGCCAGTCGTTTGGCAAGCTCCTGATTTCATGCTCCACAATGCAAGTTTATCTGCATTGTGCATGTGTTCTTTATATATAAGTCCGTATTGACATGACAAGAACTTAACCTCGGTTATTTGTAAAGCAATTCTCGACCTGAGTGCAAACTATCGTGACGTCCACAAGTGACTATGGTGTGCACCAGGCCGGTAATCTGCATTCCCAACTCCTGATAACAAAAAAGCCGTGCCGGTCGTGCAATGATGCATAGTCTTCTTAATTTAGCTAGAAATCATTTGCAACCAAACACATGGTTCGTACGGGATGCTGGTCAAACAAGAAAATCTAGTGCAATCGAGCTTGTTCACTTGGTGAGAAGGTTGCTTCAAATGGGCCGGCTGAATTCAAGGCGCTTTCTTTGTACAAGTCGCAAGCTTTACCATCCTTATCATATGACTGGGAATGATCATGGTCTTGATGTCAGCTTTTTAGGAGCTTAGCTTCTGCCGGCCTCAAAGGGGCTCACTCCAAGCAGGTGCTGCATATCACGTACCAAACTGATGAACTGACAGTAAAAGGAAGCCTATCATAAAGCCGGCAACTGCGCAACCACAGGGAAGAACCCCAAATACAGATGAAACAGTCAAAATCTTGGACAAGAGGTGATGATGCTTGTATACCCTTCCGGAGAATACCACCGGTACCACGAAACCTCCGAGCGCGCCCAGAACTTTGATCAAGGCCGACATCAAGAACGCGAGAGCTTGGGCGACGTGGAAGCCGACGGAGCCACCAGGGAAGGCGGCAGGTGCGTTGTTTCTGGCGACCACCGGGCCCTGCCCGGGGGCCACAAGCGCTCCCCCACCACCGACCTACCGACTTGATCTGCTTGATGAACGTCAAGTTCCTCCTTTTCTTGAAGGGTTTCCATCTTCTTCAACTTTTCAATGAGCGCCCACCGCCCTGGAGTGCGCACCTCAGGGCAGCTGTCTAGGTGCTCGCGGATGAAAGACCGGCTGATGCGCCAGAAGTCGAGTAACTCGAGGAGGGCGGCAAATGGTTCCCACCGGTCTCGACTCGCAGTTCAAAATCACTCGAGAGAGACTTTGCAGAGTTTTCCTCGTGCTCACCACTTCCCCGCAGCTTGAGAACGAGGCTAACAACGAGCCGCCTGATCAGAACCTCGTCCATCTCGTGAACGCTCTCAGCGTTGGCTATCTCCTCAAACGACCAGTCCGTTTGAAGGGTAGAAACAGTGTAGATCAATGCGTACTGTACCGCATTGTTTTACAGCTGCGGCAGGCTGGTCACGTATGGCATGAGGGCGTCAGCGAGAGTAGTGGGTGATGACGTCAGCACCTGGACGCACGTCTGGACGCACGCGGGCGTCTCAAAGCGGTCGGTGATAGTCAGAAACCAGCAGAGTTTTTCTTTGTCGGAACGGACTGTCGCGCTGATTTCGTGGGAGTACATGAACTCGACCAAAGCGTTGAAGCTATGTGCTTCTGCACGTGCACGTACAAGGTCGTTGCAACCCATCGTTCAACCTCGGTTTGAGAGAAGTGAATACCGTGGATTGATGTTTGATTTAAAAAAAAGCATGTGGGAAATGTTGGGGCTGTCACATCTTGAGAGTTCCTTTGCGGACGGCCGGGGAGATGATAGAAAAGCAAGGCGCGGGGGAGGAGAGTGAGGGGAGCGAGGAGTGGCAGGAGCAGGGGGGGAGAACGGCGGTGGCGGCTGAGCTGATGCATTTGAGCATGGACGAAGTGAGGCATCTGATGGAGAAAGGACGGAAACCCTCTTCCGGGGGGGGTGTATTAGAGGGTTTGGTGGCGGAGGTGGAGCGGTGCTGGCAGGGCGCCGGGGGGAAGAAAGGGAGGGCGGGAGAGGGGGGGGGCGGGAGTTCACGGCGAGTCTCCGTAAGGCCCTGGGCCGTGCTAGAGCAGGTAGCAAGGTTGGGGGAGGTGACTTGGATGGGCGCAGGCGCATAACGGAGCCGCATATTGGTGCCGGATTACCACCGTTTGGCTTCGACTGTATTTACGATGGGTGTATTTATTGGTCATACGTTATCCTGATAAGACTGGAGGTATCATTTAGTGGACGGCTTAGTGGAGCGCAATGGTCCGACACACAAGTTCGGCCGACGATAGTAGCAGAAATCAAATGTGTACGCATCCCGAAGCGTCAATTTGGTTTTGTCGTCAAAAACGTTATTCTCAATGTGCTTATGTTTTTTAAACTTGATTGCTTTCGATCAAACCCAGATCTGGTCTCGCGGGTTTCGACACGCGAACACTCTCATCCGAGTATTGTCGCAATTCAATGATCATGAGGCGCCACCGCCGAGGGCCTTGCAAAAAGTCATCCAACGTGGTTGTCTCAAATGAAAATGTGCCACCGAGATCGACGGTTGCGCTATGTATACGCGTGACTCTTACCCGCTAGCTTAAGTTACCGTCCTACTTAAACGTACAGAGATTGCCGCCCATGCATGCTCGTGCGCCGCATGCGCATGTGATGGCACGACAAGTGATGAATTAATATGCCATTGAGATTCAGGTTGAATATGCACTGGCAGCATTCACGCAGCTGCAATGATATCGATCATTCATGGGTCGGTCACTGCATGCATGCGTGGCCCAGCTAGCGCCGCCATGTTATATGCGCAGAACAAGCATCATATGCCAGACAAGCATCATTGAACCACATTTTTTGGGCTTGGTAATTCCAATTCCGTCTGCCAGTGGTCGGACACTTGTGAGCTTTCTTTGAATGCACCTACAGTTGTTGCAGTGCCGTGGAAACGCGCCCATGTACTTAAAGCGCACAATGATGTTAGATGCTGTGCATTTCAAGCTATAGTCTATTTCTGCTAAATACATGGTATTGGTGCTGTATTAAAAGGATTGAGCGACCATCATCAACCTGAGCAAAGCAGTCAAACTCGGAGTAAGTTTCAACAAGCGAAAAGTGAATCGAAAATAATCTCAAAAGCAGCATAGAGCTGTTTCAAGGTTAGACTTGTCTAAAGCTACGGCAAAGAGGCCACAATAGACAATCTACTCGGCGCTCATCGCTGCATCGTGACCTATTTCCTCCAACATCATAGCGGGAGCTCGGAAACGAGGCCTTCTTGCGTCAAGGTTTCTTTGCCCAACGTGTAAAGCGCGTCTAGAAAATGCACTCTGGACGTTCCGGACCCGCCGGGGTGCGCTTCCACTGCGACCTGAGCGGCCAGCCTGCAACCACTCAAAAGAAATGGGTTAAACAAACATCTTGCGGAGTTTTCTTCGAACCGAAAAGAGGTCCTCTAAGCGAACGTAGTCTAGTGGATCCCTTAGGGAAATCAGTAGCACAAGCGGGCGACGCGAGCCCACACAAAGACTGCTCTTGTGAAGCTGAGCACGGTCCGGAAAGCGAGGAAGTGGCCCAGCGACGGCCAAAATTCCATAACCAAGCGTGCTACCTAGCAGTTGTTACCGTAGTAAGCTTAGCATACATAACCAATAGACAACGGTACGTACAGTCTGGCACCGGGCTGATCAGCAGCAACGGGACTAGCACACCGACAAATGAAAGGAGAGTCCTCGCCCCTTCTGCAACGAATGGTCAGGTTCGAGAATCGAACTGAAAAACTTTTGGCACACCCCCTTTTACTGTGCTAATATTAAGCACGTCGCTCAACCGACTGAGCTACTCCAAGGCGGGATAACAACCAGTAGACAACGACCGATAGACAGCCGCGTATAAACGACTAGTCGAAGGCTCATCCGAAATACGCGAGGGAGTAGGCGGCCGCTTCAAGGGGGGGTAGCTCGGGATTGGCCGAGAAAGACGGCAATGAGTGCATTCACGGAGCAGCCCGTCGCGGTTACTTTTCGCAGCCAACGAAACGCCCGGGGGTAAAGCAGCAGACTCTTTTACTTCCCTCCACAGATGAGATTTGAAATGGCAAGAGGTTGCGAGAGGTTGCGAGAGGTTGCTTCGAACCAATTGGGTTGAGAGGACATTCGAGTCGAGCTGAAGTGTTACCAGTTTGCGTCGGGAACTGGAAGTAAAGGTCGCGAGATCGATTTTCGACTTCTTCGTTCTATAAATTCAGTGAACACAATCGAGATGGGCAGACGGGGAGGGGGCAAATTTCGCGTTCTAGTCAACTTGGGCCCCGGAAAACCAATTATTCTTGACGGTGTAAATGCCGAAGCTAAATAAGGTAACAACCGAAGGAGAACATAACACGAGGTGCTGTGACACCGTTTCCAAAATGATGAATTCCATTACCTGTCTCGCAATCGTGATGCACAACAATCACTGCACTCACTTCAACACCATAATCGTACTCAAAACGAACTGAAGTTCACTGTCGTACTTGAAGATGATAGACGGGATCGAGAAGCCGAGATTTGCAATTACTTGGAGAAGCGGATCTCCAATGGCCACACGCAAAACTCGCGTTCCGTAATGATGTCGATGGCTCCGCCGGCAGGCTGACTGCGACCACTGTTCCGTACGCCGTGGCTAGAGTTGCTTGGCGGCGGCGAGCGCGTTTGCTAGAGCTGTCAACGCCCTGTCGGCCCAAACTTAGATTCGACACTGTCGAAAAGAAGGAGCGAGTTTCCGCAGGATTCTGCAAGACATATTGCGTCGCATTTCCGAGCTCGGCTCTGAGAAGGCACCAAAAACAGGCCCAGAAAGATTACGACACTGTCGACCATCCGGAAATATTTAAGAGTCCGCCAGGACACGAGAGTTTTGTACTTCAGTCTATTCAACTTCAGATGGGCTTCAGTTCTGAGGAGCCGTCGAGGTGACGTGTCAGTGCCTTGCTGACTTACAGGAGTTCTCGACACCATACGAAGTTCAGGAAGAAACAGCAGTTCTTATGCCAGAGAGAGGCAGTCTTTGCAGACATCAAGGGCTTCCTTCCTTGTAATAGCGGCACCGAATCCCGAGAATCAGATGTCAAAAAGCTGAGCCATGAATACTCTGCTGACACATACACAGACATGGCCTGGGGGACAAGGCAGGAACAACGAAAAGTAGGGCAGCAAGATGCAACTATCTTAAACTGTGCGATAAGTTCATGTATGAGGTGTGAATCCGAGAAGTTGTTAACGCCCTGTCAGGTCAAAGGGAGACGTATTGCAATAGGATGCATGAGAACAGGACGCCCAGACAGAGACTCTGTCAGCATCAACCGACGCTGAGGAAGCCTCCACGTTTTGGATCTTGGTGTTTCAGAAGTTTGTGTCACTCTGGTTTTACATTTCCACTCTGGACAACAGCGCGCAAATTCGTCGTTGTCAGTGCCAGTGCCTCCCAGGGACTTCGTCTATAGTAGAGAGTTTTACTCAAGCTACCTTCGTGGAGCGCGATAGCTGTGGACGCATGTGTTACCCTGGTGGCCTCAGTGGCTGCCCCCGCTGCTGCCAGGATCCCAGACGCATTGCCCCGTATCACTGTCGGCCCCAACGCTATCAACCCTTGGCATACCTGCCTTAGCAGACACAGGAGTGAGAGCGCAATGAGGTGCTGGAGGCAAGAATGGAAAAGCCGTCCACAGCTACTGCAGTGATCAGAGATCAAACTCGAGGAATTGCGAAGGGATAGCTTGTTTTGGAAAGACTGATGACCAAGAGCAAAGGGATGCGCGATATGCCACGTAGGCAAACAGTACTGTGCATGACTCCAATTTAGAGTGCCTTTGGTCCAAAATTGAAACAAGATGATGAACGAAGACCGCTCACTTTTGCACGATAAGTGGTGGCCCCAACTCCCACAGGGCCTAAAACTCAAGGCTTGCCCGCCATTTTAGCGCCTGCGATGGCGCGACACATTCCTTCAACCCAGGGAGGCGACAGCGTACTGATGTTGACACTTAAAGCACCAGCAGTCTGTACACATGGTCATTATGGAGATGTGGTGTCAGCACACTGACACTCTGTGATCAGAGCAAGATAGGGAGGCAATGGTGGGGTGGTGAGGTGGGGGGAAGACAAAGTTCTGACGCTATTTGTCCAATGATGTACCTTTATGTGAAAACTGAAGGTGCGCAGTCCAGGACAGGCCAAATTTCAGACTTTTTCAGAAACATGCGAGTCAAGGGGCTGGGATTGCGCAACTGGGCTTTGTAGAGAAGGGGGCTCCAGGCGCGAGCGATGGAGGGACTCACCTGTACAAACCCTTCAACCTCCTCTGCAGAATGCACCATAGCAGGAGACGCCTTCAGCCGCCGGCAGATCCGAGCAGTGAGTCAGGAAATTTATTTCGGCGCCAGTGCCTGCAAAAGTCTCTGTGCTCGAAGAAGAGTAAACTGAAGAACCGCCCATTCTCACGTTCTGAAACGTTCTTACTCCTGGTGAGTATGGGAGATGCGCGAAGGCGCCTGGTGATAAACTTCTCGGAGAGAAGGTGGTGTAAAGGTTACACCTTTGGTGGAATCCC